TTAAACATTTTTCTCTCCTAGAAGTGGAATTGCTATGTCAAAGATCGAATGTTTTTGAGACTTTTGATACATATTCCAAAATTGCCCTTGTCCCTGTCATTTCCCTCTGCCTTCCCACCTGTCTTCTGCTGTTCTGGTTTAGGCCTTTGCTATCTCTTGTGTTGCACATGACAGTAGCTTCCTGTCTGTTCCTAATGGACACTGCCCATGCAGCGGGATAAGTGTGGTGGCGTGGTGATGGCGGGTGCTGTGACAGAACAGAGGAGAGGCATCTAACCAGTGTGGTGATTTGGGGTGGGGAATGAAAAGGGGTTGGGGAAGGCATCAGGGGAGACTTCCTGGAAGCAGTGAGCTGACTCAGCAGGTGGAGTGGGCATTAGCAAAGCATAAACACAGAGCAGCAGCATCCTGGGCCGGGGAATGAGGGGCATGTGCAAGGTCCTGGAAGGTGGCGCCAGGGTGGCATTGTGGTCCAGAGAGATGGACGTTGCTCTGCCACTTCTCGGCTGCGTGTTCTTGGGGAGAGGGACTTACTCTTCTGCGTTTTAGTTTTCTCATCTATACAATGGGGACATTAGTAACGGACTCCTAGAATGGTTGCAGGAGCAAATGAAGCAGCCTATGTTGGGGTTCTGGTTGTGGTGGCCAGTCCCTGAGGAGGAGCAGGTCGAAGAGAGGTCAGTACTGGATCTGTTGATGTACAGAGGCAGCTATGTGTACACCTTTGGAGCCGAGGTGAGAGAGAGTTGGCTAAGACTGGGGGATAGGGGGCACCTAGGTGGCTCAGTCAGATGAGGGTCCGACTTCGGCTCAGGTCACGATCTTGCAGTTTGTGAGTTGGAGCCCCACGTCAGCACTGCTGTCAGCGCAGAGCCCACTTCGGATCTTCTGACCCCCTTTCTCTGCCTCTTCCCCACTTGTGCTCTCTCAAAAATAAACATATGAATAAATAAATACAGACAGACAGACTGGGGGCTTGGATTTTGTTACGCAGGGTGCCGGCTGGAATAGTGGTGACAAGCTGGTTTCTAGACCACTTGGGTTTTGGATTCCAGTTTCACTGCTTATTGTGTAACCCTGAGCAAGTCATTTATTATCTCTGTGGCTTAGTTTTCCATCAGAAAAATGAGAATAATAACAGTGCTTTGTTCATGGGATTGCTGTAAAGATTAAAGGAGTTGATATATAAAGTGCTTAGAGGGTGCTTGACACATACTGTGCTTTTCCTGTTATCATTATTGTTTTTCTTGGTGATGGGGGCGTGGGGGTAGGAGCTGGATGGAGATGCGGAATTCCGAGAGGTCTGGGATGGTTTAGGAACAAGGTAGATTTGATTGCCTGTGCGGGGTCATGGAAGTCTTGGAGTATAATTGAGAAATGCAGCCGGTGCCTGAGTCTTGGCCCTGAGGGGCAGCCGCCAGAGGCCCTGAGATGTCAGCCACAGGAGGGAGAGGGTGATATGGCCAGTAGAATGACCATAAAAGGAACAGGGGCTTTTCTAAGAGGATGGAGGAATCGTGATCTGGATGGGGCAATAAATAACAATAGCCATAACAATTACTTTTATTACTCTGGAAAGGGCAATGGATAACAAGAAGAATGCCAGCTCTTTCTCCTTGGATCCATCCTTCACTTCGCAGCCACATGTTCATTCCAGCACGTGTCTCCCGAGTGCCTGAATGGGCCGGCCACAGGGCTGGGCACTGGGGCCTGTGGGGGTAAGCACGACACACTCAGTGCCTGCCTTCACAGAGTCTGCTGGCTAAAGGGAGAGATAGACATTAAGTAATTGTGCAAGTTATTGATACAGATTGGATCGTGCCACTTCCCCAATTCCAGAATCATCATTTTCTTTCTACTGCTATGGAATAAAATCCCGACTCGTATGCATGGCTTGAAAGGTCTTGCGGGATCAGGCCCCCAGTCCTGCTCCTGGCAGCTCTCCTAACCACTGTTGCTCCTCCGCCAGGCTTCTAGCCCCCCGGGACTGCTTGCTGGGCCTCAGAACCAACCACAGTATCTCCAGAGCCTCCTGCCCCCGCCCATGCCCTGTCTCCACCTGGTCACTCCTAGCGGGCCTCAGGGCCAGCGTGACAAATGTGTCTTCCTCTGGGAGGCCTTTCCCAGTCTCCGTTACTCTCAGTCCTGTGGCCGAAGCACCTTGGACCTCTGTGGGCTGTAGCACTCGAAATATAGAATCAGGAGGGAGCTTGGCTCTGGTGGGAGGAACTGAAGGCTCCAGTTAGGAATGGGTCCCAGGGGGAGATTGTGTCGGGGGAGTGGGCATGCCTGCGGGCAGGAAGAACACCTGTGGCTCAGGGGCAGCCTGAGTGCCTGGCTGGAGGGGAGGGGCCGGTTGCCTCCCATTAGGAGTAGTACGGAATGGTTGGGCTCTGGGAGTGGGCAGTGTGTTCAGGGTGTCCGTATTCTGAGAGTTTCTTCATGCAAATGCCTATCTGGAGGAAGAGTCATCCCTACCTGAGTCAGTGAAGCCAAGGGTACCTGTAAAACCTGGTGGAGCAGAATGGAGTTTCAAATCGAGCTTCGGGAGGGGGGCAGATCGGAGGCCCCGGAGAGGCTGTTTGAACCTTGTCCAACTGGGAATGCACCAATGCCACTGGTGGGGGCTGGCCTTAACTTCAGGAGGCCACCAAGGGGTGTGACATTCCTTGGCTGCCCTCTCTGTATTTGAGATAAATGCCAAAGCCCTTTGCCAGCGTCGTGGTGGTGGCATAGGAGGAGACTGCTTTAGGCTGGGGGAGGGGAGCCTATGCTCAGACAGCAGCACAGAGGTAAGGGGGCCTCCCTGGGGCAGGTCTCAGACATCTAGTTCCTGGGCCTCAGAGACTCAAAGGCAGGTCCAAATGGGTGGCTGTTGATTGCTACCCGAGACTGCTGCAGCCTGAGCTTCATGGGGAGTCCTCCCCAGCAAGTCCTCCCCAGATATGGCCTCCCCACCAGAAGAGCCAAGCAGTCGAAGAACTGCTATGGCAGGAGATGGGGACACCAGGCCAGGAAAGGGGGTAAGAATTTTTGGAGTGGCCCGAGGTAGTTCTGTAGGGCCTTCTCCCTCATCAGAGGTCAGGCCGGCCTCAGGGGGGCCGGGGAATGCTGGCAGGCGTCAGAAGGGACCGAGGCGCCCGAACTCCCGCTGCAGGCGGAGGTGCAACCCGGCCTGGGATCCCCGTGGGGGCGGCAGTTACTCTCTGGAGGCCGGAGTCACCACGCCGGAGAGCAGGCGCACTGAACTTCTCAATCACATTAATTTCCACAGGAAATTGTTGTCTTCCTTTTGTCCAAAGGTTAGTGATTTATATTTACCATCCTCTTAACTAGCCTTGAAATTTACTGTTGCCAGGTCACCACGGCATCCATAAATCTCGAGGTGGCAGCTGAGTATCGCCAAGTGGCTTGACACTTGGAAGGGCACAGCCTGGCCCTTTTGGGAGGGCAGATAACTAGTAACGGACAGTCCCTGCACAGAAGTCCCTTGACTGGGTGGGTACTTGCTTGGCAGGGGAAATGAGGTGAGGTCTGGCCAACAAGATTGCAGGGAGGCCTCTTCGAACGCAGCCATAGAAGAGGCAGCTGGTTTGTGTCTTCGCACATCACCGAAGGAGATAGGCCTCTAGTCGTGGATGGTGCTGGTGGCACAGGAGGGCTCAAGTGGCTTAGTTAGGTTGGGGAGCAAGGGCCAGATTCCCAGCTGTGTACTTCCTGTGTGACCTGAGACCAGTAACCTAAGCACTCTGTGCCTCAGTTTCCTCATCTGCAATAATATTCCTCATAGTGTTGTTATGAGGGTTAAATCTCAATAAGTAGGGGCGCCTGGGTGGCTTAGTTGGTTAAGCGTCCGACTTTCGCTTAGGTCATGATCTCGCGGTTCGTGGGTTCGAGCCCCGCGTCGGGCTCTGTGCTGACTGCCGGCTCAGAGCCTGGAGCCTGTTTCAGTCTGTGACTCCCTCTCTCTCTGACCCTCCCCTGCTCATGCTGTCTCTCTCTCTCTCTCCTAGAAATAAATAAAACATTAAAAAAAATAAAAATAAAATCTCAATAAATATTGGCGGTTATTGTTCTCTGGCAGGACAGCGTGGTGGATTGGTACGGGCCCTCAGAATCGGTCTGCTTCACCCCCCCCCACCCCCGTTGGCACTGTACTAGCCATTTCTCTGTTTAAGATCCTTTTCTTTCTTTGGCGCCTGGATGGCTCAGTCGGTTAAACGTTCGCCTCTGGATCTCAGCTCAGGTCTTGAGCTCAAGTGGTTGTGAGTTCATGCTCTGTGTTGGGTGTGAACTGTACTAAAAAAAAATCCTCTTCTTCCATCTGCTGGTGAAATTAGAACAGGGCTGGCAAACTTTTTTTGTAAAGGGCCAGTAAGTATTTTAGGCTTTGTGAACCACATGGCCTCTGTTGCAACTACTCAGCTCTGCTGTTTTAGCAAGAAAGCAGCTATATACACTAAGGAAATGAGTGAGTATAGCTGTGTTCCAATAAAAATTTATTGTGGACAGTCAAATTTGAATTTCATATAAGTCATGTGTTGCACAATATGATTCTCTTTATTTTTTAAACTATTTAAAAATATAAAAACCAATATTATTTTTAGCTTGTGGTTCATATAAAAACAGACAATGGGTTACATTTGGCCCATGGCTTGTAATTTGCTGACATCTGGATTAGAAGGTGAAACTGCACGGAGAAAGTCCTCACTTACTTTTCTCACGTGGGCTATGCCTTTGAGTTACTAGAGAAAGGTGCCCGCTTGTTGGGTTTTTCCGGTGACCCTGTAGTGCCTCGTAAGAGGTTTAAATGACACTTGAGGCAGGACAGAGGAGCGAGCCCCGTGGGAACTGGAGGCACAGGGCTGGCAGGCTGCCTCGGTCTGGTACCTGTTGGTTCACTGCCTATAGCTAGAGTGGTGCTGGCTCTGGACTGGCCAGTCACCCTCACCCCACCTCACAGCTCTGGTGCTGACAGCCCCACCATGTCTGTGTTTCAGAGAACGGCCCCAACCAAGGTGGAAAGGAGATGGGGACACGACAGCCTTTGGTGATTCTCTTAGGCTGGGGTGGCTGCACCGACAAGAACCTTGCTAAGTACAGCGCCATCTACCACAAAAGGGTGAGTACTGCAGACTTGCGGGCACCCAGCACACTGGGGTGCTGCCCCCTGTGGCCTTTCTGTGGGGAACTAGCCTTGGGTGCCCCTCATCCCTGGGCCGCAGTGTGGCAGGCCTGGGAATGGCACGAAGAATAGCCTGTGAGAAAGATGTTGGGGTCATGGGGACTTTGGCAGGATTATCCCTTCTTGATGCTGCCAGCTCTGTGGCCTGGTCTGTCTCCTTTAGCCCCCTGACCCGCTTTCCCTTCCTTCCTCCTCAAACCCCACAGCAGCCCAGCCCTGCTGTGCTCCCAGCTGTGGAGTGGGCCCAGACCTCAAGTCTGTTGTTGCCCTGATTGGCAGCAAAAGCCTGCGCCAAGCGTGCTGGGCAAAGTGTGTACTCCCAGGATTTTCTCCCTTTCTGATCGGGTGAGTTTCTGTCTTAGGTTGACCATGGACCTTCACGTTCCCATAGTAGAAGGGCCTCTTGGAAAAGAGATTCAGGCTGGAGGTCTTCTTACTTCTTAAGCTATCCCAAGAGTTGGATGTAGAGCTTATGGTAATTGGAGAGAGCCTTAGGAGGGCTGGGTTGTATTTTTTTTTTTTTTTTTTATTTCTAGGAGAGAGAGAGAGAGAGAGACAGCGTGAGCAGGGGAGGGTCAGAGAGAGAGGGAGACACAGACTCTGAAATAGGCTCCAGGCTCTGAGCCGGCAGTCAGCACAGAGCCCGACGCGGGGCTCGAACCCACGAACCGTGAGATCATGACCTAAGCGAAAGTCGGACGCTTAACCGACTAAGCCACCCAGGCGCCCCTGGGCTGGGTTGTATTTTGGAAGCCCCTTTCACATCTTTGGCCTCCGGCCTGGCCTCCCAAAATGGAGACAGCAGTGCGGACAGCCCTAGGTGCCACCTGGAAACCCTGGGCTGAGGAGTGGGAATCTCCTGGGAGAAAGGCCAGCCAGTACCCCCCGCCCCCTGCCTCAGCCTCTCTCCACTGACCTCTGTCTGCACTGTGTGCGATGTGTGTGGTGGCCCTGGAACGGGAGAAGGGTTGGGGGGAAAATGTAGTTCTGAGCTTGAGGCCTTTCCCCAACCAACAAGGCTGGTGCTCTGGCATTGCTGTTTATGAACGGCCTTGCTCTGTGGGTAGTTTTAGCTGCTTCTGAATTCCACTTGCTGGGCCAGGCTTGTTTGTCTGGCTTCTCCAGTGCACTAAGATCCCTGAGGGCAGGTGGAGGAGTAGGAATAGGTGAGTGTAGCCAGAATGGAGAGTGAAAGAAAGGGCAGGTGTCAGGAGAGGAGGCTGGGGAGGGTCCTGGGGGGATTTAAGCAGGGGTGTGATGTTAGATCGCAGGGAAGGCAGCGGGGTTGAGTCGGCAGGCTGGTGGAGGGGTTGTCTGGGAAAGGAAGGGAGTCAGGACAGGATGGGTATGGAGAAAAAGATTTTCCAAACCTGTACTCCTAATAGTATATTATTTAAAAGGAAAGAAAAATACTGCATCTACACATAGAGATGACCTCTGTCTGCTTGTTAGTGTCCCTCCTTTCAGCTTTTCTCTGTGTATCTTTTATTTACTTAAACCACATCTGTTGGCTACACTGTTTTGCATACTGCCTTTTTTCAGATCGTGAGCTCCACCTTCCCATGTTAATCTGTTTTTCTCTCTTCTGGTTCCTAGTCTATATTCCGATTCTCTCACAGTCTCCAGAATGTCCTTTACAGCTGATTTAGCATCCAATCCAGGATCACCCATGGCATCTAGTTATTTTGTTCCTTAAGACTCTATTATTTTTTACAGATTTTATTTTATTTATTTATTTTTTTAGAGAGAGAGCATGAGTAGGGGAGAGGGGCAGAGGGAGAGAGAGAGAATCCTACATGTGGGGCTTGATCCCATGACCCTGGGATCATGACCTGGGCCGAAATCAAGAGCTGGATGCTCAACTGACTGAGCCACCCAGGCACCCCTTATTTTATTTTTTAAGATTTAATTTTTAAGTAATCTCTACACCTAATGTGGGCCTACCAGAGAATATATCTAGGAGTCCGTGATCCCGAAGGTGCTGGAAGGAAAGCATGATGGGCACTAAAGCTGTCATGGGGTTTGACCATTTGGGAGAGTGTGGGTGACCTTGATAAGAGCAGTGCAGGGGAGCCAGTGGGAAAGGGCGAGGTGGAGAGGGCAGGTGTCAAAGACAGGCTAGGAAGGTGGAGAGAGGGTGGGATAGAGTTAGAGTGAGGTGCAATGTAACTGCAGAGGATTTTTTAAAAATGAGGTTGGTTTGATAGGAATCTAGAGAGAGGAAGAGACTGAAAATACAGGAGAGGGAGGCAGGGACCCTCAGCGGGGCCCTGGGGCTGACTGTGCACAGAGATGGAGAAATGCCTGGCTGGAGGGGTGGGGGGAGACTGGGATCTGACATGCAGGGACTTCTAGGAGCACCTGACTGGGGAGGTGGCAGCAGAGATGCCAGGCACCTGGGAAACCTCGAAGTGAGGCCCAGACCCAGGGGCGTGGGGAAGCTTGGCATGTGCATGCCCTTCATGGGGGTCGGGGGATGGGTGTTGGGCCCTCACAGGGCGAGCTCTGTGTGTGTGCTCACAGGTGACACGCAGTTAGAGGGCACACGCTTGTGTGTCCTCATAGATGGCATGTTCCCAGGAGTTGCTGTTTGTTTCTGTTTGTGCAGGTAGTTCTGCGTGTGAACCCTCCGGCAGGGGAGTGTGTGTGTGTGTGTGTGTGTGTGTGTGTGTGTGTACACTTGAAGGGAGTGCAGCAGGCAAGTGTGTACCCACCAGTGGTATGGGTGCTTGTGGGTGTGTACTGCTGGCTATTGCCTTTTTGTGCACTGACAGATGGTGTGATAGGTACACATGAGTGAGTGGTGGGTGTCACATGTGTCTGCATCTGTGGGATGGCGATGTGGGTGGGCTTTGTTTAGTTCTAGGAGTTGAGCGTGTGTGGCGGTGTGATGTTGGTGTTTGCATTTGTGGACAATGCTGTGTGTCGGATCAGTGGGAATACATTTCACATCCCACTGGGAAGTTAGAACAGAGCACTTTGTGAAGTCTCCCAGAGCTGAGGGGGCAGGTGGCATCGGTGGCCCCCTCTGCAGAGAGAGTCTCAGGAGGGGGGCTTCAGCATGCCAGGGCCTTGGTAGGAACAGTGCCAGGAGGACTTGGGGCAGATATCAGATTGGAGTCAGCGGGAGGGGTGAAGTTGGGGAGCTAGTGGCAGGGTTATTTCAGCTGACCATCGTGTTAAGCTATAGGTCATTCAAGTACTGTGGCCGTGTGACCTCATTAGTACTCCTACCGCTACTCATTGCTGCTACTGTTAGGTTACTTTGTGCCAGGTGCTGTTTTGAGCACTTGAGATACATCTTTTCACTCAATCTTCAGTCTGTGAGACAGATATTATCCTAGTTTACAGTTGGAAACACAGACTCAGGAAGGTGAAGCAGATTTCTCTTCACTCACACTGTTAAGAAGTGGTGCTAAGAATTGAACCCAGACCTGTGTGACCCTAGAGCCCACCTAACTCAGATTCCCCAGACAAAGGGCCCTTTGTCTCTGGAGCAGGACAGTAGGAGAGGGGATTAGGATGCAGGCACATGGCTTTGGCTGCCTTTTCTAACTGACCTAGAAGAGGATCTGTCTGGAGATTCTGAGGCATACTTGACCCAGGCATTGCGAGGTACAGAAGTCTAAGAGAGTTTGGCTCAGATTTTAGAATTTGAGGAACAACAGTGTTTACTATATTTGGAATTTCAGGGCGAGTGGGAGGAGTGATCCAAGTCCTTGGAACCGGATAGATTTGGGTGCCAGGCCCCTATGCCAAAAAGTGTGGACTCACTCTCAAGGCCCTGCGGGAAGGTGGCAGTAGCCAGAGACACATGATGCAGGGTCCAGCTCACGACTGGCCTCTGGTGGTCAAGACTGGGGCCTGCAGGCTGTATCTTCTGTGTTGGATCTTTACCGGGTGGGGTGTGTGTGTGGGGGGTCCTCCTTGTGCCTGGGAGGGTGGGGATAGTGCTGAGCTGAGTCACTGCAGCAAGGTCTAACCAAGCAGTGAGGCCATAAATATGTCAGAGTGGAGCAGATGAGGGTACAAGGGGGAGGGTGGGAGAGAGACAGGGGGTGGGCCAGAGTGAGACTTTCTTCTGGTCAACTTAGATATTTCCAAAGTGAGCTCCAGACCTCACATACCATGCTAGGCTGAGTGGTTTTGGCCCAGCATGAAGTGACTATTCCATAAATGGGCCTTGAATATACCTTCTAGTCTGGAAGGCACCCGTGTCTGTGAGAGGTGAGCTGGTGTCTGGCCACTGTTAAGCTTATGGGCCTCTGGCATTTGGAGCTTCTGGACATCTCTGACCTAGCTGTACTCCCTCACCTCTCGCCCCATCCCTGAGGACCGACCAGGCCTCTCTCCTCTCCCCAGGGCTGCATCGTGATCCGATACACAGCCCCATGGCACATGGTCTTCTTCTCCGAGTCCCTGGGCATCCCTTCACTTCGTGCTTTGGCCCAGAAGCTACTTGAGCTACTCTTTGATTACGAGATTGAGAAGGAGCCCCTGCTCTTCCATGTCTTCAGCAATGCTGGTGTCATGCTGTACCGATACGTGCTGGAGCTCCTGCAGACCCATCGGCGCTTCTGCCACCTGCGTGTGGTGGGCACCATCTTTGACAGCGGTCCTGGTGATAGCAACCTGGTGGGGGCTTTGCGGGCCCTGGCAGCCATCCTGGAGCACCGGCCTGCTGTGCTGCGCCTGCTGCTCCTGGTGGCCTTCGCCCTGGTGGCAATCCTGTTCCATGTCCTGCTCGCTCCACTCACTGCCCTCTTCCACACCCACTTCTATGACAGGCTACTCAATGCAGCCTCTCGCTGGCCTGAGCTCTACCTCTACTCGAGGGCCGACGAGGTGGTCCTGGCCAGGGATGTGGAACGCATGGTGGAGGCACGCCTGGCGCACCAGGTCCTGGTGCGCTCTGTGGACTTTGTATCATCTGCACATGTCAGCCACCTCCGCGACTACCCTGCTTACTACACAAGCCTCTGTGTCAACTTCATGCGCAGCTGTGTCCACCGCTGAGCTCCTTGCCCCACCCAACACCCACCCCCAACTTACCTCTGCTCCAGAAATAAATGCCTGACACCTCCCCACAACCTATATCCATGGGTGGGGTCCTCTCTGCTTCACCTCCCTTACAGCCCTTTGGGACTTTGTGGTCCTGCAGGTAGAGAATTGAGAATTGCCATTGAATTTTAGCAGCCTCTACCCCAGGGACTGTGGTGGTCTGTTTATCCCAGGAACTTAGTGGGTGGAAGTGCCTGGACAGGTCTCTGTAGGAGTCTTGCAGTGGCTGTGTTTAGACACGTGCGAGTCAGGCTGCTGAGTTCTGTGGCATTTAGGCTGTATAGGGTGGGATTGCTGATGAGCCCCAGGGTTAATCTTTAACTTCTTGAAGGGAAGGTGAACTTTGTGGGGAGGTGACGGAAAGTAGAGTCAGGCTGGGGCAGGGGCTACGATTTCTGCCCCAAAGCCCCAGAAGGGCAAAGCCTTGCAGCATGAAGCACCATGCACACAGATGCCACTTAATAGTTCATTCAGAGGGGCTGCTCTGCCCTCACTGCCCCAGGGGAGCCGAGGAGCAGAGGTGGCAGGTCTGCCTGGGTCCGTCACACTGCCAGCAAGCCACTGGTCCAGGAAGGCTGCCAGGTGTGTAACAAGCAGGTGGAGTGGGGAGCAGGAGGACTGCAGCGCCATATAGGAGCTGGGACAAGCTAAGTCCGTAGCCCTGAAGACCAGAACCAGGGCAAGGGGCCCCTTGACTAAAACAACAAACTCTATCTTCTTGAGAGACCTACTTGGATCATCTGCAGGCAGGAGAGGTGGCTTCAGCCTTAGAGTTCTGTATCGTCTCTCATTCTATGAGTCACTGCTGCACAATGTTGACACATAGTAGGTACTCAATAAATGTTGATTCAGTGAGCTTACTGTGGTATTCAAGGGACTTGGCGGGACAGGGATGGGCTTTGAGAATTTGACAGACAGTGAAGGAGTTGGCTGGCCAAGTTCTGGGTGGGAGCTGACCGTTGATATTCTCAGAGCTGATGGACTCTGTCTCCAGAGCTGGGCTCAGTCTGCATCTGTCAGCCCTCTGGGACCACTGGGATCCTTGCCGTCCCTATGCTGTGTGGTTGCATTCCTAGCCATGGCCAACAGGTGGCAGTGCTGCCCGGGTCATGAGACCAAGCTTAAGGATCCCAAGGATCCAGAGGCAGGGTAGGCTTTGTGTCCTCATGCGGGGTTAGCATCCCCTATTTGAAAGCCTGTAGTTTCCAGGGTGAGAGTAACCAGCCAGCAGGGACCTACTGAGTCCAAGACAAGGAAAGGGGAGAGTTGAGACCTGAAAGGAGCCAGCCACACGGGACATTACCCTCTTCTCTTCCCAAACTTTAGCCATTACTGGGGCTGCCCTGCTTTGGCAGGCCACATACATTTCCCCGAATCTTGGGCCCCAGGATTCTACTATTTAGGATACTTGATGCCATCAAGCTGGGCATGGGTCTGTGCAGGGCTTTCACTGGGCTCCAACCAGGAGGCAGAGCTGCCAGTCGGATCCTATTCTGTAGTATATGCACTGCGGGCACCCAGACATTGGTGTATCCAAGGTGGGGAGTTTGGGAAGGTGGACGATGGGACTGGTGTGTGAGAATGTGTAAAGGAAAGGACTCATCTGCAGCTTTGAGCACTTGGCAGAGCACCCAGGATGTGGATTACTCCCTGGCAGTGGGTAGTCTTGGGGATGATGATTTGATAAAGTGCCATCTCCAGTGCTAGCTGGCCAGCTTCAGTTCCCTGACATGAGGGTCCACCTTGGATAATGGGTTTCTGCTGTAGCTATTTGAGGATCTAGGCAGTAGCTATACTGGGGTGTTGGTCACTGGAAAAAAAGTTGCAGGGACTGAGATGGTTCCATTTTCAGTCCCTGGCTCATTTCTGGGGACCAGAAAGGTACACGGGCTTGAGGCTTGCTTTTACCCAAGCTTATAACTGCTTCTGCTCTAGATTGGGGGATAGAGCTTGCATCCCCTCTGTACCCCCAAGCTCTGACCTCTTCTGTGATTAATGAGCTGACGATTCTGCATCGATAAGGAATTAACCTGGAGCCCCTACCCATCAATAGGAGTCCAGGTCCCCAGCCCCACCCCCACCGGAGTGCTTCAGGCTCCCCACCCGCAGCGGACCAACCCTGCACTGCTTCTGCTTCGTGGGGACATCCAAGTCCTCTTCCCCACACTGCTGCCAGGAATTAACCCCTTAACTGCTTCTTTACATACCACTCCATCACCTACCCCTTACTGCACACATACACACAGGCAGCAGCTATTTATATTGGTTTAATCCATGTCAAATGTAGTTTACAAAGGGAAAGGACAAGTACCTTTGTATAGAATATACAGACACAGCATCACACCGTGGGGCCCATGGGAGGGGTGGGGGAGACCACTTCCCCTGGGAACAGCAGTTCTAATCCCAGGAATGGTTCTTGATAGGCGGCTGGGCAGCCAGGAGCATACTCATCCAGCCCCAATCTCAGCCCCTGCTTCAGCTCAGTTCCCATTTCCTGTGTCTCCCCTCTCCCCCAACTCCTTATAAAGAGCCCCAGGAGCTAAGACTAAGGAGAGGATCGTGTCCCTTGGGGCATGTGCCCCATGTCTGGGGGAAGAAATATACACCACTGAACACCGAGCACGTGGGAGAGGGAAGGGATACCATGGGGGAGAGAGAGGCAGGCACCCTGAGAGGTGGATGGGCCGAGCCCCCAGCCAGCCCTGAAGGGGGCACTGCTTCCAGGTGTTCTTAAAAAAAAAGAAGAAAATCATACAACCAAAGGGGTGAGGGTGGAGCGGGGATCGAGGGGTTGTCCCATTTATACACAACATTGTAAACATACACAGTCTATATTACATGTGCTTCAGTCTGGCGTTTGCATGTCTGTCTGTCCGTCTGTCAGTCTGGGGGCTGTATCTCAGGAGCCTTGCCCAACTATTCCCCCTCACCTCCACCTCCTTGCCCCACCCTGGAACAGAACCCAAACAGGTATGGTCCTCAGTTTTGGTGGGAACCAGCAGGCAAGGCCTGGGTCTCAGCCTCCACTCTGGCTCCAGAGAGTCCTGTGTGTGTGTGTGTGTGTGTGTGTGTGTGTGTGCGTGCGCGTGTGCACAAACGTGCACGTATGTGTGCATGTATGTACACGGGGAATATGTGTGCAAATATGTACAAGGGGGAGGGTCACGTCACAGAGGCGGGCAGGTGAGCTGCTCCAGGCAAGGCCTGCTGGGGTGGCTAGCTCACAAGTAGATTCTCCGCAGGTCTCCCGGCGCTGTGATGGTGTTGCACTGAGGGCAGAGCTTCTTGGCACCCTGCAGGGAGAGCAGTGGGGGGCTCTGGTTATACACACTGTGCTGCGCATTTGCTCATGAGCACCTGGGCCTGCGGCCATGTCTCCCTGCACCAGTTGTATGCTTGGCACCTTGGTCCCGTCAGCTCAGGCTGGGGGTGCACAGGCGGCCTCTGCAAGCAGGCAGGCATCATGCTCCTGTGTTGGGGGGACGCCAGGATCAAACCGCCCGGCCAGCCCCGCAGCGGGAGCCCCGGTAATGAGAACAAGGCTGGGTCCAGCTGTGGCTGCCTCGGCCCTAACGAGATTACATGCGGCCTTTGATCAGGACACAGAGCCCACGTCCGGGCCTTTTATTGCTGTCTCCGGGCGACATTTTAATGGCTGCTCCTGAGCGAAGAACAGGGGCAGGAGCAGAAGGAGCTTAGTAATGGCAGGGGGAGGGGCTGAGGCCCGAGTCCTGCTTATCCACACCCAGCCTCCTCCTGACCTGAGATCTCACCAATCTACGTGATACAGTGGGCCTTGGGGGTGGGCGGAGCAGGCAGTGAACCCATGGAGGGGGAGAATTTAATAAACCTGGTGGGGGAGGCAAGACAGTGGGGAGCTAGAGGGTGAACATCCTGGTTTCCCGCTGCTGTGTTTGATGCTCGTGCTCTCTCCTGCCCCTTGCACCTCCCTCCCCTCAAGCAGGCTCAAGCATAAGCATGGACATGTGGGCAGCCCCGGAAGCAGCCACCCACTCCCCAACCCCCATGCCACCTCACCAGGGTCCGCAGCCAGCACTCCTCACAGTGCACATGCCAACACTGGATGGACGTTAGGGGCATCGAGTAGGAGTCCTAGGGAGGAGGTGGGCAGAGAAGGAGTCACTCTGAGGCTGGCCCCCTCTCTAAAGAGCTCAGATCACAGTGCAGAGGCCCTTTCCAACCCCCAGAGGGCACTGAAGCCTGACCAAAGGCATCCCAGGTTCCTTTTCTCTCACCATACAGATGAGGCATTTGTAACGGTCCCCACGGGATAGCTGCCGTTCAAGTTCCCTGACCCGAGCCTTCAGGGCCTCAAACGTGGTCACAGCTGAATCTTCGGTGATTCTGTGAAGAGGACGGCATGGTTGGGCAGGCAGCAGGCTGACATCTCTAATCTGAACCTCCAGCCCGCACCTCCCTTAAATTTCTAGAACTGTATAGATAAATGTCCCCCAGATATCCCCACCCTTACCCCCCCATATCCTATATTTGTAAACTCCACCTTCTGGAATTGAACTCCTCATCCTCCTTGTTCTTCCACCTCCATCCTGGTGAATTTCCAAACCAGATACATAGGAGCCATTCTCAAACCACTGCTTCCCAGTCACCCTTGACGCCCACAATCTGTCCTCCAGCTCCTAGTATCTGTAGTTTCTCTGCTGCTACCACTGGCCCAGGCCCTCGGCCCTCATTTCTCCTACGATCCCTCCACTGACCTGAATGGCCCCTCTGCTTCCAGACCCCTCATTCCATTCTCCCAGCACCTAGAATTTTACAAATTTGACCGTTTCTATTTCTACCATTTCAATGTTTCCCTTAGAATAAAGCTCTAGCAAACTCATTAGCTGAGACCAGGAACTCCTTGGTCTTGCCCCAGCCTGCATCCCTCAGCACCCTGCCACACTCGATGCTCTATCACCCCGAACTATCCACTATCCACACAGAGCTTCTCCACATGCTCCATCATTTTTCACTCCCTTGGCTTCTTGCAGTGCTTTCTGCTTCCTCTGGGCCATCCCACCTCCTAACTCACCAGAAGCCTTTTCCAACCCTCCTGCCAGCACCACTGCTGGTGGCTGCTCTCCTGTGCTCTCCAGCACCCTGCACCGGACTCCACCACAGCAACACAACTGTAAACGTCCTTGTCTCTTGCACGAGGCGTAGTTTTCTAAGGGCAAGCTGCCCACGCCACCAAAACTGACTGTGAGCAGCAGCACCTGGCAGGCACGTGAGTATGAGTAAATCTTTGTTGACCGAATAGCCAGTCTCACTCCCAGGACAGAGATGTGGGGACTGCGTGAGTCCCGCAGACCCTAGTCCTGGGCCACAGGCCCGGCCCACCTCAAGGGCCCCTTGTTGTTTCTTCTTGGGCAGGCACATCAGATGCCCTGATAGTCCTCACCTGCTGCTCAAGTCTTGCCCACAAAAGTCCCTATAACTTCTCGAAGACTCTGGGCTGCAGTACTAAATGCAGTACTAAACTAGCTAGTGAATAGCTAGGATGATCCCGAGGAGTGATCCCTCCTACCCCTCCTAAAACAAGTGGACAGAAAGAACCCAGAGGAGCTCACCGAGGGAGAAGAGTGCTTCCTGGAGGAGAAGAAAAGATGCTACTGGAGATGGCCCTTAGGGGAATAACAGTGATGATAATACAAATAAAAGCCAACATTTATTAAGTGCTTACTAAATGCCAGAGTCTGTACTGAGGGATTGAAAATTATTTTATTTACACCTCACAAAAACCCCATGAGGAGATTCTAATAGTCCCATTTTCTGTGTGAAGAAGCTAAAGCAGCAGAGGAACATTAAGTAGCTTGCCTATGGTTCACACAGAATGGGGGAGGTGGGATTCAAACCCCAAACACGGATGCTGTGATCAACGAAGAACTACATGACTAACGTTACAACACTGGAAACACCCCGGAGAAGCGGGGTCTCCAGGTCTAGGGACCAGTAGGAACACAGGCCAAGAAGCCCAAGAGACCCACATGGCTATAAGGCTCACCTGTGGGTAAGTAGAAAATGCTGAAGTGGGAAAGGAGATTTTATCAGAAAAGACTTCAGAGGCACCGTCAGAAAGTGAAGTTTATCTCACAGGCAATGGGAAGCTGCTGGGGGCGTTGGAGGCGGGCTGTGACAGGGTTAAGAGCTGAAGAGCTGAGGTTACTGGGTGTATTTAATCAGGAGAAAGAGCGGACAGAGGGGGAACTCTAAGTGTGGTGCAGTGTGGCAGAGATGTTCTCCTAGGGTGACCTGTTCTGCTAGTTTGGAGCACATCGTCGCCTCAGAAAGCTTGCAGGTGGTCTTTCCCTGCTGGGCTAAGTGGTACTGGGGGGCACAGGGAGGATGGTGGGTAACATTCCATGGGCAACAGCAAACTTTGATCTCTGACCCTTCTCTCTTAGGGCACTAGCAGCAACACAGAATATGACTTCCTGGTGGCTGTGTCCCCATGTCAGAGATGCCCTAGATCTATTATCCATAGGTCTGTGACTCTCTACCCTGCCTCTCTCCAGGGAAGCTGCAAAGGGTTTGACTCCATTTCCTCTGGCATTGGCTGATTTTCTGGAAGTGTCCATTCAACTTTCCAGATCTGGACGCCTTTACCTCCTCCTCCACCCTAACACGAGCACAGCTGGCTCTTCCCCTGGCATTTTGCCCAATGCCATATGTGCCACCCCATCTGCTGGTAAATTCTTGACAAGGAAACAAGGATGGGTAGCTGTGCTCCCTTTCCCTCCCAACGGCCAGGCTGGGCATTTGCCTGGTCGTATGTAGTTATTAAAAAAATCTGGGAAATGAGGGTTTGGAGCTGGGGACACAGGGCTGCTGCAGAGCCGAGCACTCTCAAACCCCAAATCAGAGAAGTTAGAGCTAGAAAGGCAAAAAGATGGGGCCAGGAGAGAATGAAGCCATCTCCCCATTTATATTCAAAAGTTCCAAGGCCACATTCAGAGCCCACCTTATTGTGGACTTGCATAAACGTGGCCTCTAATCTCAGCTCTGGTGTAATACCCAATTCTCTAGCTCCTGACCCAGGCTGCTTGCGAGTTATTCCTGAGACCCTCCAGGGCACTGAGTGGAGACTTTCCTGGAAGAAGCCATGGCATCCTGCCTTCCTGCTTCCCCTAGGTCATGAAAAAGATCTAGGGCAGGAACCTACGTCATGTACCAGGAAGAGAGAAGTCATGGGGACTGAAGGGTCACAATCTTAGCAGATCCAGACCCAGTGGAGATTTCTGCATATGACTGAGCCAGTCTATGATGCATCCCAGAGAACCCTGCCTACTGGTGCCTGTGCTCACACAGGTGGGACAGAAGTCCCAACTTTCTCCAGCCTTGGGTGGGTAGTACCTTCATGGATGGCCATTGGCTCTGGCCCCCACCTCCCCCTCGGGCGCCATCCCTGATTAATGATCTTGTCTTTCTGATTTATGAGCAGCCCCTCTAGACGAGGGTGGGCGCCCCTTATGGCCCCGCCCGCCCCGCTCAGCTGGAGTAGGAGAGAATTATTAAATAAACATCCATACGTCATTCCCCACCCCCCCCAAGCTGGTTGCGCCGAACCCGTGCGGCCCGCTCCAGCACTGACACGGAGCAGCTGCGGTGATTCATGGGCAGCCGGGCCCCGAGCCGCGGCCCATACATCATGCCAGCAGCACTCGCGGCCCCGGCCGAGATAAACTGATCAACCACAACGGGCTGGAATGAATTTATGACAACACAAAATGGAGGGAAACAAATGGGAGGTGACCCTGGGCCACCGACCCAGCCCTGCACCGGCCTGCAATCCACTCTTCTGGCAGGAGGCAAGATGGAACACTGGCCCTGGAATGAAGAGGCTGCCTTTTAACCCCAGGCAACCTAGCTTCCAGCAGAGAGAAGGGTGGGGTGTGGGCAGTTAAGCAATGGCCAACAGCAGCAACTCCAGGCAACCAAAACTGGACAATGCCACCTCTTGGGGCCAGAAATGGCCTTGCATGGGCTTCTGGAAAGACAGTAAGACACCTGGCTGATTTCAAGTCCTTGTGGCTCCCGGGGATCCAGGCCAGGGGCTGCCCAGCCCTATGTGAAGTGCTAACAGACCCCCTATTCCCCTGCTAGAGAACCCAGGCCAAAAATTCCTACCAGAAGTGATGAGACCCAATGCTCCTGCCTAAAACCCACTGCGAGCGCCACCCGGGACAAGAAAAATGAAACCAATTTAGCTCCCGATTAAGAAACAGAAACTGGAGATGAATCAAGTGCGCCGGCTGGGCTGGGCGGCCATACATCACATTCCCGGGCGGAGGCCGCCGCAGCGGGCAGGCAGGCAGGCGGACTACTCCTCCCTCCACCAAGACTCCCAGGGCAGTGGCCCAGTGATCAATTCACAGACTCATGCTTAGCACCAGCTGGGCCCCAATGCCCGTCGTGTGCCCAGGCTGCAGGACGAAGCTGTGTTCTGGAGGCCAGGAGCCTTGGCAGCAGGCCTTCCTGCTAGCAAAGAGCCCCTCCCTCGCCCCTCCCACTGAACTGCCACCCCAGAGGCCTACCCCCTCTCCTGGCCAGACACTCACTTCTCGATGTCACTATTCTTGCAGGTCTTCTGCATGGCCTCCTGCTTGCTGCTCTCACCGTTGCTGGTAGATGGCATCTCTGCTGGGACAGAGGGGCAACTCATACTCTGGCCAGAGTGGGCAGCACAGGTGAGGGGCTGGGCTTGAGTCAGTCACCATCACCCAAAGACGTCCCCTCTCCCCCATTAATTACTCCTATGGTGGGTCAGGACTTACCGTCACTGGCCCATTTAGAGAACTCAGGCGTGATGCGTGTGCTGGGAGGGCCGCCACTAGAGAAAGGAGGAGGAAAGAACAAAGTGAACTCTACAGGCAGGCAGGGGAGCCCTGAGAGTGGGTACTAGGCTGACCCCTGCCTCAGGACTTCCACCCACCCAAGGCTGTGCCCACACTTGCTTTAGGACTGCACCCCGGAGTGCCTCTCTCTCCTTGGCTTCACCAGGCTCTTCGCCTGTACAGGGGATGACATCAGCTTCTGTGTATCTGGCATGGTGGTCAAGGACAACAGATCGTAGTTGATAGTAGGCCATGAAGGTTGAATCCTAGTTAAAGCTGAGACACTGACCCCAAAGTGGGGTAGATGGTATGGGCAAGTACCAGAGGTGCTGGCTACTTTTTAAATTCCCTTTGACCTGTCCCACCAGCCCCACCTTGTCCCACAGTGCCCCAAGGATACTGTGGCTTCCCATACTCCAGAGTGTCATCCCCATCCACATCCAGGTCAGCATCACTGTCCGGATTCTCCTTGCCGCTGCACATGACGAAGCCAGAGCCTGTGGGAAGCAGGGTGTGAGGACGGCCAGGGGCCAACAAGACTAGGCCAAGAGTGTCCCTTCTGTTCCCTCTAGGTAGGGGTCAGGTTTTGGGCCAGGGAAGGCTCAGAAATTTGGGTCTGGAACATAGAAAGCCAATTACTTAGGTACTCTTGGCTCTGACATTTCAATCCCTTTCACTCTGCGTACCTCATCCTTCTTTGCCACTTCCTGCTGCTCCTAATGGTCTCTGTTCATAAACTAGCCCGCTCATACACTATGTCAGGTCCTTAGGAGACACCCAGGTGAGCCCTGCTGCCCACCTGTCTTCTAGATCTAGGAAGAAGACACAGAAGGGTATTCCCACCCAGGACCTGGGCATCCTGTGTCCCATGGTCCAGCCTGACAGTCCATCAGAGGGAAGAGCAAACTGGCTAGGGCCAGTCAGAGCCACACAGCAAGACCCCCCGCCAATGTCCTGATTTTGGCCGCCAGGTCCTTGCCAGCAAAAACACCAGGCAGCTGTTCAAATATTTGGTGTCTGAAGCGCCTGACATTAATTATTCATCTCCACCTCACTCAGCCCAGATTCCTGGACAAGTGCAGTTATAAAGGATTAGAAAGGGACAGACGAGGGAGGACAGGCATGCACACCTGCTTCTCAAAGCAATCCATGACGGCAAGCAGGCTGGGTGGAGGCAGGGCTGCTGGCCAGACAGGTGGCTGTCCCTACCAAGGTGTGCTTGGCCTAGCCACTGGTAGACCCTTGGCCAATGCGGAGGAGGAGCTGCTGAAATCACATTAGGCCCCCTTATTGGCCATGTGCTTTCACACTCAGGACCACCCTTCCAGATAGCCAGGGTCAGGGGCCACAAAGCTGCTTCCTTCTCCATCCCTGTCCCGGACTCCTCTCAGTGGACTCAGACCATACCCTATTGGCCAGCACAGCAGCCTTGCCAGGACAGAGAGATAAAAACGATGGAATCTGTGGCCAAGTAGAAGCAGCAAGGTAATCCTCAAAGAGATGAGGAAGCAGCTCAGGGTTCTGTCTGAGGATCTCAGAATTTTCTTCTTATCCATTCTTTCCACTCTCATCAGGAGGACAGTCTTACAATGGGTCCTTAAGCCTCCTGTCTTCCTTTATCATGCCTACCATATGGTTCTGGCCGTTCCTTTCCCAGCTCCAAAACCAGCTATGGCTCCCCACTACATGCACAATCTTCTCAGCTGGATCCATCAAGATGTGGATGCACCTACTTCTCCACCTTTGCTCTTTTCCTCACTTTACTCCATAAGCCTGATGCCTACAGACAACTTACTGCTCTTCAGACAACCCCATATATCCTGTTCTTGAGACTTTTGCTTATGCTATTGATTCCCCGTGGAACGTTCTCCATCTTTCAAGTCTGTTTCAAAGGCATTTTCTTCCTGATCTTCCTTCTCCCATCTACAGCTCTGGTCTCTGGTCTTACAAAGGCTCCATCCATCCCAAAGGCAAACAGCACGAAGGAAAAAGAGAAGCTAGGCACTGCCTAGGCTCCACCCCTCCCCGACAATCCTCATTTCCCCTCTGTACCTAGGCATCAACAAACAGGAGGTAGCAGGCAGGTCAGCAGCAGGGCCATTACGCTGAGAAAACACCAAGTTACAGCTCTGTCTCCTGTTCACGGCCAGGTGTCCTGACAAGCAATTCCCTCCTTGTGGGTGAGTGGCACCTCTATAAACCCTCTGACAGTTTGGGAGACAAACTCTGCCATCAATCAGAATGTAGCTATCAGGTTCACTTACAGCCTGTGCCCCCGAACCCCGCCAATGCCCCCACCCCCACGTACGTGCGGCTCAGCAGTCAGCCTCCCATCCTCCCATCCCGTCCTGGCCCTGCCCAGCCCTGCCTGGTGAGTGGACAGAAAGGAAAGCAAGGAATCTGTGGCACATATGATAAAACAGGGTACCCCAAAGCTGCCAGGAAAGGTCCCAGTTGAGGTTCCTCAACACAGAAAGCAGCCCTATGGCCTAAAGTCATTTCCTCTGACAGGCCTAGAACAGGACTCCTACTCCAGTGGAACATAGCTACTGTGCTTTCCCCAACCCTATATGTTTGGTTGTGCTGCTGTGCCTTCATACCTCTTGTTCTCTCTTCTCCCTCCTGGTCTACAAAACAAACGCCTGCTTGTTCTGCAAGTCTGACCTAGCTCAACCACACCTCCTGCTATGAACTCACAGTGCCAATATGCATAGTTGCTCCAGAAATACTTCCTCAATGAACTCACCTCAGGAATACTCTTTCAACCTTTACTGAGCTCATCCTCAGCCTGGCTTGGCATTGGAGACAAAGAGTTTCAAGATCTGATCCCTACCCTCAAGGTGCTCAGTGTGGAGACTTCCCCGGGTATTTCTACACAGATAGGTGTTCCTTCCTTGGTGTCCATAGGGACTCCTGTGGAATTCCAAAGTCATATTACATGCACTGTCATAGCCCTTCACTGACTGAAAGCCCAGGTCTGACTCACTGCTGTGATCTCAGCAGCATCCATCAGAGCTGACCAGGCCCAGAGCAGGTGCTACACAACACACACCAGCAGAAATGACTAAACACTGATGATGCTGTTGTATTAGGTCCTGAGAGCCCTGTGTCAGAAGGCTGAGGTGTGAAACTACTCAGGACATAACCTTCCTTATCAGCTTCCCCGAGCTGGGTGGTGATCTCCTGCTCCTCTGACCAGCCAGGCAGGAGAGAGCATGGCATAACTTCTCTGCCAAGAAAAAGGCCTGTCTCTGGTCTGAGCAGTTCACTCTGACCCTGACCCCATCCTGCAGTGGGGACAGATGTTGGGAATGTCTCCCTACCCCCACAGGTGTTCAGAACAGGCTGCCACTGCCAATTTCCCTCTTATGCTGCCCCAGCCTGCTCCAACCTCTTTCCCAGCACATTAAACTTTATTTTCTTAATGAAATGTCACTTGCTGACTTCTGGCAGAATCATAATAAAAAGAAACGGCCATAAAGCCTTTTTATGCAGATAGCGCCCCCACCAGCTTGCCCCCCTCCCCCCCCCACCCCCCCTTTGAGAGGAAGGCTCCACAGTCGTTTTATGTTCTCAGCTGCTGGCACATCCCAAGCCAGTACTCAGAGGCAAGATGGCACACAGAGCTCCTTTCCAAGCCTCTGGCTCCTGTTCTGTGTAGCTCTGGGGATAACAAGCAAGCTGCCACTCCTGCTGCTACTATCCAGGGAAGGGACTCAGTCAGCTCCCTGGACCTCTAAGATGACCTGGAATAATCTTTAGTCAGCAGGGGAGGCCGCTTGCTATGGCTCAACCCCACCTAAAGTAGCACAATGTGTTGGGCTGCGGACTATAAGCAAACTAAGCCTGATGGTCAATGATGCTCAGCAGAGTGGGTTCTGGGAGGGTAGGCAGTGTGAAATCCCTTCCCTGCAAATGAATACTTAGCAACAGAGAAGGGGCTTCAGTGCAGAAATGATAAGCAAGTCTAAATTTTATAAAAATGACTCCTCTCCCATAAACTCATTTCTTCCTGGCTCATCGAGAAGAAAAAAAAAATCAGTGTTAATTTAATCAATCGATTAGGTGATCGATTGAGAAACTGGAGATGCCCGTTTACTGGGGGCACTAACGTCCTGGAACCTGAAACCACACAAAAAAGGAGCCATCAATTTCCTCACCTGCTGCTCCTAACAAAACCAGAGCCCAGGGAGAAAGGAAAGTCTTGGGGCCCTCGAGAGGCTATACTCTTGTGGGGGGGAGGGTGTGGGGAGGAGACAGGGGCAGCAGCTTCCGGAGAGTTTTACACTGGAATTAGTTACAGATGCAGTTACGGTGTCTTGTGTAAACGCCATCGATTGGGGAGCTGACAGTCTGGGGAGCTGCGATGCGGGACAATCAATCGGCCTGCAGTGTCACCTGCCACCTCGCTGAACAGTTGACAATGCAATTATCCAGTGTGGAGGCAGGGAGTTGGCGTGTGTCAAACGCACTTAGCCACTTTCCGGGCCTCCTCAATAACGCGTTTCACTGCCTCACGTCAGGAGAGACGCAGAGAGACAGAGGCCGTTTAAAACCACTGATACTTGCTCCTTCTGCCTGCACTCCCTCTGTCCCAGCTTAACAATTGTGTTCCAAAAGGCGATTAAATCCCCGTCAGTCGCCCCAGGGGACAGAAGGTGCCCTGCTCTTTGCCATCTCTTCTCACCCCTCCAGCCAGGCAACAGTTACAAATGAAGGTGGCAGGGGGCTGGAAGGCGGCAGCCCTGGCCCTCCCCGTATCAAGCTGCCTCCAGCAGTCGGCTGTTCCAACGCCTGTCACTGACCAGTCAAGGCAGCACAGCTGCACTGGGGGACATTTTTAGCAGCTGGGGCTCCTATCTTCTGGGAACTAACATGCCAAAGGGGGCAGCAGCTAGGGGAAGGCCTATTTCTCTGTGCCCTTGGACTCACAAAACCTCTCATTCCCCTACTCAGAATCTTGTGAAGTTTTAGCAAGCAACAGCCAGTTAAAAAAATCTGTGCCAGAACTGCCCTGCCTGTCCTCTCCATGAGATCTCATCCCAGGCCACTTAGAACCAGCCTAAATCCAAGATAGGAACCTGAGAAAGTCCCTAGGCTAGGATCTGAGCAGGGCAGAGGCCTGAACAACAGTTCTCCTAGTACCCTCTCTCCCTCCCCTCTACCTGTTGGCTTCAAAGGGGCTCAACGCTGGATTCTAACAACGCATTTCCCTACCAGGGCTCAAAGATATAGCTGCAGTACCTTCTATTTTCTGGGCAGCTTCCTGGGAAAATTTTTCCATCTTGCCACTCCTGTGCCTGCCACCTCACTGTCACCTTATCTGAAACCAACCACTCCCATGTCATCTCTCCAGCCCGTCCATTCCAAATATGATGGGCTCCAGGCTCCCCAAATCCAGCTGGGTGAACTCTAACTGGCAACCAATCCAGGGGAAGAAGCTCACCAGGAGTCTATTCTCTAGGACCCAGGACTGGAAATAGAAAATGGAAGAAAGGTGTGGCTCATCTGTCACATACCTCCTTTGACTATAGATTGGAATAGGTTTGTCCCCAAGGGCTGGATCATTAGGTTTTCCCTGAGGCCTACTGCTCTAGCCCAGAGGCTTCTTGCTCTGCCCAGGGCTGGCATGGTGCCCTAGAAGAGTATCTTTTACTCCTAGATGCTAAACTGTTTTAGGGGAATGTTGGTAAAGCACTAGGCCCCATGCCACCCTTTATGCAATTATAATGCTGGGTGGGGAGAAACAGCAGCAGGTTAGCAAACATAAGGTACTGAGAGGTCATCAACAGCTTAGGCACACAACCCGGAATTTCTCCGAGAACTGAGAAGGCCACAGTATTTTGTAGACACTGAAAGTTTTAGGTCTTCCAACCTACTCTCTTGAAATCTTATTTCCTTTAGCCTCTTAAAGATCTGTTTCCAGCTGGACCTATCTTGGTGCTTACCTGTTCTGTCTGGTCCTTCATTTTGTTCTAAAGTCCCAATGCCAAGCACTCCTGGGCCTGAGCTATCCGGGCCTTGCCCTCAATAGCCATAGGTCCGTCTGCAAGGCCTGTTCCCCTCAGCCAAGTGTCTCCACCAAAACTGGCACTTGTTCACTGGCTCAACAGCAGATTATGGTCAAGGTAACAGATCTGCTCCATCAAACCAGTTCCCAGTGGGCCTGGTGGGAAGCTTTGCTGAGGATGATGAAGGGGCCCTGGTCTGGGGGGAGGGACAGGATGATCGGATACAGGAACTTATCTGCAATTCTTCAATTCTTTCATATCTAACAAGGACAGCAATCTCTGTTCTGTCAGCACGCACAGTGCAGCTTAAATGGGCCTCACTGCTCGCCTGCTCATCCTGCCTCTGCTCCCTCTCTCTGAAGTCGGCCAGGCAGCTTCTTCAGCCGGCGTTATCACTCCCTCTAACCGGTCTTGGCAGGCAATCTAATTCCTCCTGAAAAGGTCACCGCCATTTTAACTGCCTTTCAATCACATTAAGCACGCACTGCCCGGCTTGCGGCCGGCCCGCCCGGCGGGCGATCAATGCGCCACACTGACACCAGCCCGCCTGGCGGGGCCACACCCAACCCCCCAAGAGTTGGGGTCTACCAGTCCTGGCCAGGGAGGGTAGACTGACAGATGGCCAGTTTCTGCAGACAGGGTTTCAGGGGCAGAGGCAGTCGGTATCAGCCAGGGCCTCCTTTGATGCCCCCCCCACCGAGAAGCCTCAGCCTCCTCTGCTCCACTGTGCCCCGCTCTCTGCCTCGTGGCCCCTGCTGATCTTGCTGTAAAACAGCCTTTCAAGTCTGCCTGTCTTTTGACTGCACTAAGCTGTTTAAGAGGCAGCAGCGGCTTCTATCAGGCAAGCCGGAGCCATTCTCTGCAGATAAAGGCACCTCCGGCCCTGTTCCCTCTTCAAGCCTCACTCTCATTCTCGCTCTCCAAATCACTCAAAGAAAAGCCCCCTTTGAACTCCCCTCAGGAATTCTTGAAAGGAACAACCTCACAGTGTAAACACTCAGGGAAAACTGACACCCGCCCAGGGCCTAAGAGCACCACACACCTGCTCTGCAAGTGCATCCCAGCGCGGGGAAATACTGTCAAATCGGCAGGCCTTATGCAGCTTTATCCCCCGTAAGCCTTGTCTGGTGCCCAGAAACCATCAGATCCAGATCTATGCCAAGAAACCTATGAAGTTGCCACAGTAATGGAAGGTGTGAGCATTTCCAGCTGCCAACAGAGTGAACCCAGAGCAGCATCCTGCAACTGACCCTGTATGGGCTGCACCAGACACCTGTGTGTACGATTCCCACGATCCTGGTCTTTGCCACTCATCTTCTCAGGGCCTCAGGCACTCTAAAACTCTGGGACAGGATCACAGCGAAGTGGCAAATGAACTCTCCCACTCAGGCTCGGGCAATGGTTTGGGCTGATTTACCTTCCTGATTTGCACTCTGCCTTGCCCTCAAATGCTTGGGGAATGTGAGAGAAACCTAGAAGCATAATGCCCCACCTGGCCTTGCCACCCCTTCGTGAATCCAGTCTGCACTGCACAGCGCTATGGAGACCACTCTTCAACACCAGCCCATGCAGCAAGGCCCCAATAAGTTAGACACCCTCTTCCCAGCTGCTGTGAGACTCCCCAGGGACCAAACCCACCAGGACTCCCAAGGGTGTTGCCCAGAGAACTGGAGGCAGATGGGAAGCAGACTGGTTCGCTTAATGATTTTAAGTTGCAGAGCCAGCTGTGCTAGTACACAGAGAGCCAGAAGCCAGGAGGCAAACTGCTTCCCCTTCCTCCTGCCCAAAGCAGGGAGTCTGACAAGAGGACACAGCCCTGGGCATCCAACCTGTGTACTGTGTGACCTGGTGAGGGGTGGGAGACTTCCACTGAGCAAAGTCATAGCCCCACAAGGAGCTGGCAGGGTAATGGAGCTGTGCAAAGCCCTGCAGACCCATCTGCAGCAACTGGAGAGCCCAAGGGAAGCAAGGAGCAGCTGGGCCCAGGCCCCTCTTGCTTCAGGGCAGAGGGCACCCAGGGAGAAGGGATGGGATCAGAGCTAAAATTAGATTCACCAATGAAGCTCAGGGGAGGTCAAATTTTGCCATAACTCACTCTCTCCTCTGTAACTGATTTCCCTGACGTGGGGCTGAAGAGGAGGAGGAGGAAAATCCAATGTGTTTGCCTGGAAGCCCTCAGGGCCCCCAGTGCTGGAGGTGTACAGCAGGTTGCTAGATTCTCATTTATCAGCCTTAAGAGGGATGGAGTGATAAATGCATAACCGTCCCTTTAATATTTTATGCAGGTGCTAACGCGGCTTGGCTGTCACCTTCAATGCATCACCCGAGGCTGAGAGCCCCCCTCGTCACTCCTAGCTTGCAGCCTCACAATTCCATTTCCCCACCCAAATACATCCATTTTAATATGCACATCACAGGCAGGCAGCACGGTCACAAAGGAGCCCCGCCAGCAGCAGTTCCCACGTGGTGGAACGGATGACCAGCCACCAACCCTGGCCTCTTGGCTCCCAACAGATGGATACCCAGCAGAGACCTGGTCATCAGAGTGCCACTGTTTATGCGTCAGCTGCTTGTACCTCGGAAACCACCTTCCAGGAGAGTGGTGGCCCGTATCCGCTTCTGCCCGCACCACTCATATTCCTCAAAGCGGTTGCTATTCTCATGCTCGATATCCACGGCATCATCCTCGGCCACACAGGAGCCTTCCCTCTGTGAAGAGCAGAGTAGGATCATGCGGGTCCCAGGCCACCACCACCTGCTCCCCAGGGTCTACAAAGAAGGCATGGCCCTAACCTCCAGCTTTGGTGGGCCTATGGGCCTCCAGATCTAGGGCCCCTTTCACGTAAACCAATCTGGAGGTCAAAGACCTGGGCCTCTTCCCAATTATTTTCCACTGGAGCCCCAGGGGAGGAGTGGAAGAGTGAAAGCAAAGGAAGAGGGCAAAGAACAGAGAGGAAAAAGCTGCTGAGATCACATGGAGACCCCAACACAGCCCATAAATCTGGGGGCAGTCAGCAGCTAGTGTAGGGGGAGGGAGGGAGGGGTGAAAAGGTAGGTAGTGATGGCCCCTCTACCTTAGAAAGGCAATGCTCCACATGCCTACTCATCTCCTGCTCCGATCCTGCCAGGGGGCGGTTGCACAGGGGACATACCTGCCCTTCATCTTGCTTCCTCCGTTTCATTTTCCCAATCCGAGCTGCATGGAGAAACCAAAAACAAAAGCACAAAATAGGCAGACGGTCACTGTAGCTCCTACGGTCCCAGTGGAGCTGACACATCCTGACCCCTTGCCAGCCATTAGCCCTTTTGTTCAGTGCCTGATCTGGCCCTCATTATGCAGCACCTACTGCTCCTTTGGGGACTGAACCTTGCCAAGAGCACCTGGGGAGGGGACGGGTGCAAGGCCAGTGAAGTGTCCACTCTGGCCACAGCTGGCTCAGGTTCAACCCACGCTTCTCTACCTGCAGTCCTCAGTAAGTCCAATGAGCAAAGACACTCCAAGTTGCTAGATATCTGCCCAGAAACCCAAGACCATGGGCTCTCTTAGAGAAGATCTCTTGGCTAGAACCCAGGGGCCCTCCAGGGGCCCGATTTGGCCTGCTATTCACTCACTGCCCTTTTGTTCCAGGGCCAAGGGCCCTGAGGCATAGCCCTTAGTATGCTTAGAACCCCTCAAGTCTTGGAAGAAGTCAGGACTTCTCTCAAGTCCACTGATACATTAAAAAAAAATATATTTTTTAACGCTTTATGAATTCGCATAAATTCATCTCTGTGCAGGAGTCATGCTAATCTTCTCTGTATCATTCCAATTTTAGTATATGTGCTGCTGAAGTAAACACTCCACTGGTCCCATTTTACAGAAGAGGAGACTGAGGCCCAGTCAGACAGGTATAGAAGAACTGAATCAGAGAGCCCAGGGTACCTTAAGAGGGCAGCCTTTACTGTGCCTACCCAAACCTGTTCTATCATTTCTAATCAGTGCAGGGGGCTGGCAGGCCCCCGAGGCAGACGGCTGCCTGCCACACTGTCCCGCAGGGGGCTCAATTCCAAAGTGCACACTGCAAGCCCACAGCACTGCTAATTAATGCTGAGAGATGCAATCATTTCTAATTAGCTCACTAATCCCTCTCTGCAGCCCTCCTGTCACTGAAGCAGGAAGGGGTCAAAACAAGGGGTTGCCCCACTCCCCCTGCAATAGCAGAAGTAGAGCTAGCCACTTTGAGATCAGACAGGACTGGAGTGGTGAGCCAGCCAGGGAGAAAAAGGTTCCCCATTGAAGGGCCAGGAAAAACTTTCTCACGGATACTGATCCTGGTGGGAAGCTCATGAATGCAGTTTAGGTAGGGGGGACACAGGTGAAAGGTGATATTACAATTTAGAGCTTCAGCTGTGTATCAGGCTTAGCATCGAACACCTTACACAAGGTAGTTCATTTAATTCTTTGTTCAGAAGCAAGGCTGTATTATCCATTTTAGCAGAAGAAACTCAAGGTTCAGAGAGAACAAGGTGCACTTGTCTGAGTGGCTAAGAAGTGACAAAGGCAGGATAAGAAATCAGGCCTGACTCTACAGGTTAGGATGCTCTCCTGTCCTAAGAGTCTACCCACTGGTGGATGGCAGCAACAATGACTGACCTGTGAGTGTGCTAGGGCAGGAAGAACATGCACTTGGGGACCTAGCTCTTGCCTATTGAGAGTCTGAGGCAGGGAGCTACTCCAACTCCAAAATAGCAGCTCTAGAAAGACCCAAACCAACAGGAAAGCCATCATCCCACCAGGGATGACATGAAGTTTGAGAAATCTTGGTCTGTAGCCTGGCCCTTATCTTCAATTTCCTGTGCTCTTGCACAAGAGGTGACTATGTTCTAGTGTCCTCCTTGATTTCGTGGACAAAGATCTAGATCCCTTCATCCTGACTGTCCTAACTCTTGGAAGTTCAGGCTTGAACCACCGTGGCACCCTACAGCCATGGCTGGGATGGAGAAGGGATGCTAGATATCAGAAAGGCAAGTTCTTGAAGCCCGTATGGAGCAGTGTGTCAATACAAAGGGCCAATCATAGACAATGATGACTGAATAAAGAAAAGAATCTTACAGAACTGCCAAGAAGGGCATGATACTGGACGCTGTTCTTGCCCAAGCCACCCAAGACAGAAGATCCCTTGTAATCCCAGGAAAGCCTCCTGCTGGGTTAGACAACAGCTGAAAATTCTCAAGGCATTGCCTTGCTGATGAATGAACTCACCATTCACCTTCTAAGTCCTGAACTAGGCTTACTAAATAGCTATGGAAAGGTCTGCATTTGCTTAAAAGGGAGCATGGTATGGTCGGAGAAGCACAAGCTTTGGAGGTAAACTTCAGTTTACATCACGGTTCAGTTACATCCCAGCTGTGTGATTTTAAACAAATCACCTTAACCTCTCCCAGCCTCAGTTTCCTTATCTACAAAATGTGTTACCACTTTCCTCTCAGAAGTGTTGTGATAATGATGCTTAACATGGTGTCAGCCCACAACGAATGCTTTCCCTTTCCCAGACTGGAGTTCAGCCAGGCACCAGAAATCAAGTGGCAAGAGCTGGCCAGAGACCCTAAAGCCCCTTACAGCCAACAATCAGATATACCACGCCCATGTCCGCACAAAAAGCTAGGATCATCCAATTGTGTTCAGCAAAGAGCAATGCTCCAGAGGTTTGAATCCAAAAGCGGGGGGTGCCAGGTAGTGCACACACGATGTGCTTTCAGAGAAGGCCTGTAAGAGCTGTCGAGCCCACGCTGATCACCTTTGTGAAATGTGGGCCGACTGATAACTCAAAGAGCCCTGGGATGAGTTAGTTCCTGTTGCCGTGGGAACTCCAGATCTCACTGCATTGTCAAGTCTCAGCAGAGAGGCTGTATTCACACTACCGGGCACTGATTAAAAACTGGAAGAAAAACATTCTCAGCGCCCTGCCGGCTTGTACAGTGAGGTCCCAGCAGCTTGCAAATTCAAAGCTGAGCTCCCGAGTGGAATTGTGTAGCTTGTTCCTCATTCTCTGGTACTTGAAGGCCTTCAGAGAGGCGTGGGCAAGAGCTGGAACCATAACCTCCATTAGACAGATGGGGAAACTGAGGGCGGCCACCTCGGTTAGCCCATTCTCAGGCGCTGTGACTGCAACGAAGCCAAATGGCCCCAAAGTCGAAGAGACCCAGGCAAGCCCGGAGCTTCAGGCAGTGAGGGAGGGAGGAGGCCGGGGGTGGGGCGGAGGGAGGGGCCGGGAAAGACTCACCATTCAGTCGGGTCTGCCGGTTGGCTCGCACTCGCAGGAAGGTCTGGGAGAAGATCCCGGGCAGAAGCAAGAAAAGAGAGCGTCAGGCGCGGCCTGGAGCCCTGGCCCCCGCCCCAGCACTGGACCCCGGTCCCGGCCTGCCCCGCCCCAAACAGCCCGTAAACAAACCTACTTCCTCCCTCCCGCCGGCCCCCCTGCTCCTCCGGCCGTTCCGGGCCCTCGGCATAGCCGCCGGGGGATGCTCTAACGGGACCCCGTGGCCGCCGCACGGTGCCGCCCCAATCCCGGTCTCCGGCGCTCTGGGCCCTGCAGCCGCCCGGCCGGCGAGGGCGGCGATGCGGGCGGATTCCCCCCGGCTGCCCGGCGGCGGCGGCACCTCAGCTCCCACCGGCGGCGGCGGCCATGTTGGCCCTGATCACGTGACCTGCTGCCGTCGCGCGCCAGGGTGAAAGTTCACGATGGCGGCGGCGGGGGGTGGGGGGGCGACCGGACAAGGACCAGGAAACAGCTGCTCATACTCCGGTAGTAACCGGCTAGGGCCGCCCTGGGGTCCCTCCCACTGTACGCAAAGCCTACCAGCCCCAGTTTTAGAGACCGCCTGGGCCTCCCACCCCGCTCCACGCGTCCGCCCCGCGCGGGACTTCTTCCGTCCCAGAGGCTCAGTCCCCACCCCGGCCCCGCTGCTGGCACTTTGCTGGGGAGGCGGCGTTTGGATTCCGGGTAGCCTCTGCCCCATTCGGGTCGCCATTCGGTCCCACCGAATGTCCCAAACTGTCCCGCCCCTAGCCCCTAGCCTTTCTGTAGTCCCGTTAAAGGATTCCCATTTCTGTGCTGTCTGCCGGACAGCCCCTGGAGCTTTCACAGGTGCCGCACACCCACGCGGCCACACTGGAACTCAACATCCCGCAAGCAGCCGCTTTTCTCCTGGGTGCTCAGTTCGTAAGGGGATACCGCCATCCACTCAGGTGTGCCCACACGGGAAACTTGAGAGGTGTCGTTGGACCGCCCCACCCTCCTTCATTCCTCATACTCCTTCCAACTTTAGATTCCAGGGAGTCTGTCTTTAAAGGTCTCGTAAGTTTTCTCATCTCCACTTCTGCGTATCTCCTACTCCTCTTTCCAGACCTAAGCAAAAATATCTTTCTTTTCCTCTCATTAGAGTACTTCCATCTCTACCTTCATTATAGCTCATACAGATTTTTATGGGGGGCTGACCCATGTGTGAGTTAGAGTTAGAGCCATGTGTGAGTCATACAGGTGAACCCAGAGTCCCTGCATAGCGCTTGGCATAGGCAAGACATCCCTGACGGTTTCTTCTACGACTATACCTGTCTTGGATGTCACTGCTCTAGTTCATAATTTGTGAGCTCTCAAAATTTGTTTCTCATTGGCCTTCTGGGCTTCAGTTTCTCTCCCTGACCATACTTCAGACAACAGTATATTCTTTGTATCTGCAAAATTGACCCTCTCTCCCTCTCCCCCACTTTTTAAAATCCTTCAGTGGTTCTCCACCTAGAAGATCTGCAGCATGGCACACAGGCCTTATTTGACCTGTTTTTTTTTTTTTTTTTTTTTCCCTTCAGACTCTTCTACCACTCTTGCTCTCTCCCTTTGCCATCCACACTCAGCTTTGCAGAGCTAACTATAGTTCTTCCAGTGCTTCAATGCTCTGGACTCTGGGCTAGATTATCCTCCATGCCTCCATATCCCCTGCTTGGTTAACGGTTGGTGGTTCTTGCCTTCAGGACTCTGATAAAGCTTCACTTTCCCCCAAAGGTTGGGTTAGTTGCCTCCTTGGAGATAGTTTTCACCATCTCTTAGCTTGCTTCCTTCTGATCTTGCATATGGTGGTGGTTTACATATGTGTCCCTTCTATGGTGGGGGTGGGGGTGATGATGATCTCTATCCAGTATCCAGTCACCCAGCATAGGGTCTGGCATGCAGGAGATATCAGGGGTAACGGGAGAAGGATTTTTATAATGGAAGCCCCTTAGCCCACTGCAGGGCTGGGAAACAGTTTAGGATTCAGGGCCAGACAGATCCCAGTTCAAATTCTGACTCTGTTCCTCATAATTTATGTGTTCCCAAAAAAGTCACATCCCCTCTCTAGGCCTGTTTCCTTAGCAGTAAATTGGGGGCAATGAATCCTAGCCTGCACAATTGCTATGAGGATAAAATGAGGAATGGTTAAGAGGGTTAGGTAACCCAGCAGGGACTAAGTAAATGGGAATCCAAACCAGAAACCAATACCCCATGCTTTCAAGACCTACTTCGATGGTTTAAAGAAAAATCCAACATAACTGACCAACTAGTACATGCCAGGCATGGTGTAAGGATCAGGGGATGGGATACCCAGCTAGCCCCTGAGGTTTCCAGCTTCACCTCCTGACAATTCCCCTTGGGTTTTACACGCTAACAAAAGTGAGCTGCTAGCAGGTCCCCAGATACATCATTCTGTGTTGCACCTCTATGCTCTTTGCACAGTGTTGCCTTGAAGTGGCAGATGTTCTTCCTTGTCCATCAAAGTGAACTCCTATGTCTTCTGAAACCGTGTTCATTTGTTACCCCTTTGTGAAACTTGCTCTGATAAACCACCTCTTTATACTGTGCTATCCCAGAAACTTATAACTGTTAGAGCACTTAAAACACTGGGCTATAATTATTTATTTGCTAATCTAACCCCTTGAAGGCAAGGACACTGGACCAAGCATGTTTGAGTACAGGAAGGGAGTAAAGAAGGATGGGACAATGTCCTTGCCTTGGAGGAACTCCCAGTCTAGTGAAACAGTCATGCTCATTGTGATAGATTAAGTACAGCCACAATTCTTTGCAGCTCCTTCTGTCAAGAGGACAGAATCCTCATCCCTTGATTATGGGTTAGCTTTGGGACTTGCTTTGTCAAGTGATGTGTCAGTTCCAGATTCTAGGCCTCAAGAGGCTTTGGCCTTCAGCCCCTTGGTGTGACACTACCCTGAGGCTGCCAAATAAGGAAGCCGATCTAACCTACTAGAGGCCCCATGGAAGAGAACCAAGGCACCCTGATCTCCCAGAATGTGAGGCTTTCCAGTCTAGTCTGGCATCTAGCTGAATGAGCTGTGTAAATGAGGAAAGGCCCAGTCAACTGAAAAACTCATGAGAAATAACAAATTGTGTTAAGCCACTAAGTTTTGGGATGGCTGGTTATATGTCAGTAATTAATGGAAACATAGCTAAACAGGTGATCACAATACAGGATGATAAGGGTCAATCATAGGGACATATAGGGTTTGTGAGAAGAGATAGCTAATCCAGAAAGGCTTCTTGGAGGAGACAGTATTTGGGCAGGATGTTGAAAGATAAATAGAAATGGGATGGGATGGGGTAAAATAGTCCCATTAAAAGAAACAGCATGTGTAAAAGTGTGCAGGCAAGAAAGGAACAGCACAGTCAGGGAGTGGTTAGCATTAATTCTGTGAGCATAGCCCATCGGATTCATGGAAGGCAGTATTAGGAATGGAAGCTGAAAATACAGGTTGAACCTAAATCACAGAAGACCTTGGTGCCATGTCTTAGCAAGCCAGGCCTGTGCCTGATGGTAGTTCTTAGCTCAACAGGTGCTGAGGCTGAATGCTGTGACTGAAGTGAGGGTGGCAGGATGCCCCCTAAGGGCAGGGCTCTGTCCATCCTCTGTGTTACAGAGCCTTATTTCCCTATCTGACCAGAATTCCCTGGAGTTGGGTCGTTTCTCCACCTACATTTGGGTTGTCTGGGTAATAGTAGTGTTTCTCAGGGGCCCGACTGGACTGCCTCTCTAGAACCAGGGTTTATGAGAGGGGGATCCCTCCCTGGGGCTCGCACTTACAGCTCTGCAGTTTGAGTCCCAGTACAGAGGCATCCAGCAGAGGAGGTGCAGTGGAGAACGGTGTCCACTCCCTTCTCTAAGCTCTGCATCCTGATGCCAGGCTGTGTCAGTTGGGAGGAAAGGGGGCCCAAAGGGAACATCTCTAATTCCCACAAAGGCTTCCTGTGTGCCGGCAGTGACCCAGGCTCTCCAGCCGGAATTGTAGGTCCCTGCTGCCATGTCTTTCCACATCAGATCAGGGCTTCTGAGTTAAGGCTGCTTTCTCCTTTCATACTGGGACTCCCTGAGAAGCCCTGTTGCCATTAAGACCAATAATTCTTGGAGCAGGGCCCTGTTTTTTCCATCTGACTGGGGCTCCCAAGGGCAGGGCTCTGTCTCTCCTCAGACAGAAAGCTGCTTTCTTTTTCCTACCATAAAGGAGACCCATATAGAGCTGGGATGTTACCATTAGGGACCCCTCTTGCTGTGATCTTTGAGGACTGTGTGATTACTCCCTGTTTGCCCAATGCCCTCAGACAATGTCTTCTTGTCTTTTTCTGGGTCTGATATGAATGTTTGGCAGGATTGAATAGTTATTTGCTCAAGGGACCCTGGATTTGAAGTCTTCAGGGGCTTTGGGGCTGTGTCTCTGAGTCCCTCATGAAACCAAACCACATAGGATACCTCCTGATGGATGGGATGCTTCAGAAGTGCTTACAGCCCACCAGAACCCAGGTGACCTAGGCATTGTTCCTTAAAACCTATCTGTTTAAGGCTCATTCCCTGACATCTGTGCCTTCTGGTTTCAGTTAGGGGCACTCAACACAGAGGGAACCAAATACAAGTTCTGGCTTCTCTTCTCACCTCCCAAGGAGGGGAGGAATTAGCACCAGGCATGTCCCACTAAGCTTTCACCATGTAAGCTTCCTTCTCACGCTCACCCACCCCCTCCTCACCTGGTATCTGTCTGAATGGTGCAGGTCATCAGTGGCAGAGGAGTGTGGTGATGCTGTTGGAGACTCTCCTTCCCTCTTGATTGAAGCAGACAACAGGAGGGACTGGAAGAAGAAAAAGGACATGTTACCTCAGGCCAAATGAGACCTGCAATCAATCAGTCCCCTAGAGTTCCCAGTCCAATGGAGCTTTTGGGAGAGGGGCATAGAGGAAGGCAGAGGGATAGAGGCACGCCTGAGATTTGAAGGCCGGCTTTGAGGCCCTGGGGGTGTGGTTGTGGGAGAGGGTGGCTTGATTCCAGGGATGGGTAGAGACCTCTGAGAGGGTCCAAACCTCCCAGGTGATCTCTGTCCCAGTGCAGGTAGGACTCCCTGCCCACTCCCAGTTGGCTGAGGTAATACATGCTTTGTTCTCCTTCAGAAGCCGAATCTCTGGGACCCCTCTGAAGGACTGGGGGGTAAAGCTGCATATCTGCTGCCCTGCCTGCCCCTAATACAGGCTGAAGGCAGCCCTGCTACAGAGACAGTAAATTAAATAGTATGTATGAGTTTCCCGCGTGCAGCTAGGGATGTACGCTGAGTCCATTTATCCCTGTGCGGTGGCAATGACCCCAGTGAGAACCCTAGGAGAACTCACCCCCCCATGTCAGTCCTGCACAGCCTCCCCTACGTGCGCCTGCAGTGTAGATTAATAAACTGTCTGCTTTACATTGTGTGCAAGCGCCACAATCCTAAATACCACATGGCACGTTCAGCCTGCTCTTGCTGGCTCTTGCCAAGGCCTGTTCAGCTGCAACCTGGGGGCCCGGAGGCCTGAAAGCAATCCCTACTTCCTTCCCCCACCCTCTCCAGCTTGCACAGCTCTGAGCCGGAAGCATACAATTCCCTAGGAGGCCTCCCCAGCCAAGAAACCATGCCAAATCGCCAGTGACAGCCCAAAGAAAGCAATTTGGGAAAGATGGAGCAGCCATTTATCCTTCATCTCCAACCAAGCCTTAGGATGTGACCCGCATGTGGTGGCCAAGCTGAACATCCTTAGGCAAGGGCCCTGAGAAGGGAGGGGCAGCTGCTGGTCTGGTAGGGCTCCCTCGCCCCCAGAGCTGGTGGGGTGGGGGTTGGGGGGGAGGCTGGGAAGGGCCTGTGACTTGGAGCCCTTTCTTCACCCAGCCAGACCCAGCAGGAGGCCTAGTGGGTGACTAGGCCCCCACCTCAGATTGTGTTGGTCTTTCAGGCAATGTCCTTCTCCTTCTCTGGTCCCAGGGAGGATGCCAAGGTAGGGAAACAATGTGGGGTCTCTGCCCCATGGCCCCATGAGAAAGCTTGCTCTTGTGTGCCTCCTCTGGCCCCCCCCATTCTCTTCTGGGTTAGAAGCCCTGAGAGGCCCCAGCATTACACCTGGGGCAAGCAGAATAAAAAAAGGTCACTGGCGCTTTTTAAACATGGACCAAAAAGCAGTAAAATGTGTTTTGAAAAAAAAATCCCGGCATTAAATCATGACTTTTTGCCTGGCTCTTCGCCTCATTAAAAGTGGCCTTTTGGAAGGTAAAATTATCATTGTAAGCGATAAGATCTTTAAGAAAATAATTCACGGCTTCTTCACCCTTTAATATGATAGCCGCCACCGGCTAATTTTTTTCTTAATGGCAATGAGGCCATCAATCTTGTCTGAGGCCCCCTCGCCCTCTCCTCTCCCTCCCTCCCTCCTCCCTGTCCTCTCGGTTTCTTGCTTGAACCTTCTACCTCATGCCCCTTCCACCCATGACCTGCTTCCCTGAAGCCTCAGCCACAGGCAGGGGATGGTCAGCTTTGGGGGCCGAAATGGTCAGCTTTAGGGGGTATGAGCGTGAATTTGGAATTGAGTGAGCAGGGGTCCTTGCCTCCGAGTCTAATTATCAATATGTCTGTGTCGGCAGTGGAGGATCTGCATGTGTTTTAGGACTTCCTGTGTGAGTACTCTGACCTCGGTGTGGGTGCCTCTGCATATGTGGGGGGCTCTGTATGGATGTGGATTGTATCTGTGTTTATCCTTAGAGCACAGGCCTCACTGTGGTCCAATCCCCAGCACTGACAGCCACACTCAGGTGTCAGGTGTCAATGGTTGTGGCAGCGGCTGACCCGGCAGCTTGTCCATGGCCTACCTTCCTTAACCACAACCACCGAATGCTGCAGGCTGGGCCACGCTCTGTGAGTGCGGCTCCCCGCCTGTGCGAATCACAGCTGCCTGTCAACCCCCACCTTTTCTCTTTAGGCAGGAGGACTTCGCTACCTTGGGCAGGGCCTACACCTGTCCAAGACTGGGCCAACCTCTCCGTCCCCCACTCTGTCCAACTTTCTGTGTTGAGTGATTTCCTGCGTGAAGGTGCAAAATCCACTCCCACCCTTTTTAAAGGCCTACAGGGTTGTTGGGCCAACCCCTGGAGGTAATATTATCACTCTGGCTCCTTTTCTCCAAACTGCCCTTTCCGAGGTCACCAATGACTTTAAGACTTCTCAACACAAGGGCCCCCTTCTCCAAACTTTCTCACTTTGACTGCTGACCACCCCATATGTTTTGGAACTTTTCTCCCTTAGGAGTCTGGGATACAGTGCTTTCCTGTGCTCATCCTGACTCCGGACTGTTCCTCCTTCCTGATGCCTGTACCTTATCTTGACCCCCCTATGCAAAGGTCCCCTGATTCTCTTCCTGGCTTGTCCTCTGATTTCTCTGTGCAGTCCTCCTGACTGATTTCATCCATTTCGGAAGCATCAACATCCATTCCTCCCTCCCTATAAGAAGGGCCAGGGATTCCTGCCTTTAAGAGTCATTGTGAGAACTTTTAAGAAAAGATGTTGCCTTACCAAGGGTGAGGAAGGGTTTAGTGAGTAGGGTTTAGTTCTCCTCCCCAGGTCCCCACTTCCTCAAAATCATCACCTTTGGGAAAGCAGTACCATCTGCCTCTGTGGCCACCTATGGGAGTTGTTGGTACAAATCACGTCATTGGAAGAGGCCTCTCTGGTCCCTCCTTTGAGCCAGCTACTTGCCCTTCATTTTTCCTTTCTCCATCTGATGCTCCCAAACCTCTCTCCCATAGTATCTGTTTAGAGGGGCAGACAGTCTCCTCAGATATGCTCAACATCCTCCCTGGCTCCCTGCTGCCCTCAGGACAAAGTATACACATACTCATGCACATGCACACACACACACACACACACACACACACACACACACACACAGTGTTGCTTCTAAGGCCTGTGCACTGTCTGTCTTGACCATTACTTCTATATTTTTCTTTCCCTGCTACAGCTTACCTTCCTTCTTGGAGTCTCCCCAGCCTTAGTGTTTGGGTCCCCCATGCCCCCATGTCATTCTTAGCTTTGATTCCTATTCTAACTGGAAGAGGAAGAAGTCAGATGAGCATATTCTGGCTCATACTCAGACTACATACACATTCTCTCTCTCTCTCTCTCTCTCTCTCTGTCTCTCTCTCTCTCTCTCTCTCTCTCTCAAGCACACAGGGCAGCCCTAGGCCTCAGACTGACGATCAAACCCTTGAGATAGCTGGGGATCCAGGAAGAGCTCCTTTTCCTCAAGAGGAATCAGTTATGGGTAAGCCTAGGTTAGGATGGTCAGGAGGAAACACACACAATTGTCCACCTACCTTGGGGGTGCCTGGAGCCATGGCATCCTTCAGAAGGGAATTCTTGCTGCCAAGAAAGAAGAGAACAGGGTGACTATCCCGCTTGCTGCCCAGGGCATGCAAGAGAAGAATAGCAAGAAGACCCCAAAAAGAGAAGGCATAGCCAGCTTAGCCCAGCCCTGATCAGCCAAGCTCTACCAAGGCCATTCAACCTCAGCTGGCCCTGACTAGCTCAGCCTCCACCAGGGACCAGTGGCAAGAGCTGGCTCCTGGGAGGGGGATAGAGACAGTAGGCATGGTAGGCTCCCCCATGAATCTGAGGAAAGGGGCTTTACCTGACTCCTGGTATCAGCCCTGAGGATTCTGCTTGCCCTGGATGCCCCCTTCCCTCCACCTCCTGTCCCCAGCCTGCTTTTAGCTCCTATGGGATTGGGGGTGATGGAGCTGACATGGCTCTTGTCAATTCTCCCTCCAACACGCTGCAAACTGCGTTAGGCCAGGAATGATCTCCCCCTGATTCAATTTGTCAGCCCCAGGCCCTCCGGCATCGGGCGCGGCAGGCGGGCGGGAGCTGGGCCCTGAAATATGGTGGGCGGCTCGGAGCAGGCGGGGGCGGGGGTGGGAGGTGATGGATGGGCTGTGGGGGAGGCGAGGACTGTGTTTAATAACAAAATTGGTATGCAAGGCCACATCCCGCGCTAAGCATGAGTGATCCAGAGCCACAAAGTATTACAAATCCCTGCTAAACAGATGCTGACAATGGAACAAGACGTATCAAATCAGATCCACTTCAGAAACATTAATATCCCTGTTCCTGTCCCTCCCTCCCTTCTGCCCCCACTGTGCTCACCACATCTGTGCTCACACATTCATGCACGTGCACTCACACACACATACAAATACATGCACGCAGAGGCGCTGGCTGATATGTGCAGGAGGCAGACACAGCCCATTCTATAGGGTCCATGCACAGACACCTATACAAGCTAGTTGGGTAGAACATGCCCACAGAGGTGTCGATAAAGCACAAAAGACACACAGACACATACTCAAGGCAGAGTGCCTAGGACAAACACGGACTCAGAGCATATACACAGGGAATACCCACAGGGTCAGACGTAGATACCCCAATATGTGAGCAAAGACATAGGCAGATTCAGATAAAGTAGCAGTTGTCCCCCAGGGCACATTTGGCAATGTCTGGAGACCTTTCTGGTTGTCACACCTGGGGGCAGGGAGTTTGCTACTGGCATCTGGTAGGTAGAGGATATTAACCAACATACAGTGAATGGGATAGCCCCTCACAACAAAGAATTATCTGGCCCAAGATTTCAATAGTGCTGAGGTTGAGAAACCCTGGTATAAAGGCAGATACACACGTATCCACTGTCCATAATTCTGTCAACAGTCACTCAGACACGTGTGGTCACACCCAGTGGTTCAAATATGTTGTAAATAAAGACACATTCACAACAGTCACCCAGACTGTGAAGAGCTGCTCAGGCACCAACATCCACGTAATAAAGACATGCACAGATACGCCCACACGCACCAACACATTCCCAGATACTTACGCATCCACAAATGCAGACACATGTGGACACACACCCGCATAGATACACACATCACAGGTCTGAGCGTAAAAACAGAGCTGTTTGCCTGGCTGATCACATAGTTTGGGCATCACAGACTGGGAAGGACAGCCAGACCGGGTTCCTAAACAGTCCTTTTATTCCTGAGGAGCAACTAGTTTGAGTTCATTACTTTTAGCATTCTTTCACTCTGTCAACAAGTACTGACATCCCATTGTGCCGGGCACTGTGCCTGGATGGGTACAGAAATGAGGCATCTGCTGTGTGACATTCTTGCTGGACCCCTGGCCTGAGGTCTGAGCTTCATCTGAGCAGCATCAGGTTGGGACAGAAAAGGAAAGAGTGAACAATGATTGTGCACCAACCACTTGTGACAGGTATGGGCCGGGTACTTTATATGTGCTCTCTCTTTAATCTTCACAAAAACTTTACAGAGTTGACCCATGGAGGTTGAATGACACCTCTGTGTTCACACAGCTCATGTAGGGTTTGAGATTTGAGTTCATGTCTGACCGAGTCCAAAGTGCTGCTTTTCAATTGCCTGCGCTGATTTCCTAAAGATACTCAGGGGTTAGGATAGAGGACAGAGCTTGGAGTTCTTTTTCTCTCTCCACTTTGGGGAGTATCCTACTGATTCTGGGCTTAGTTTCCTCGGCTGGTGAATAGAAATGAGGACATCTAGGGTGAGAATGTCCAGCCTCTCCCTTTGCCAATACTTTTACCTTTCCCTTAAGTCAGACTGGTACTACCTCAAGCTCCTGCCCTCTCTCTGAGCAAGTGTCCCCACCCCACCCTACCTTTCTTCCAACAGCCTGATCACCTCCAAGTGTGTTTGGTTCCCCAGAGACAGAATCTGGTGAAAAGCCTGCCTCTGAAAGGAGAGGTCTGAGCCTCAGAGCTATGGGCAGACTGGATCGTGCTCAGCCCATCAGCTCCTCTGCCTTCCGTCCCTCCCTGTTTCCACAGCCCACCCCCAACGATTTCCTCCCTTCTCAGTCACTCGCTGCCTAGTGATCCATGGGTTTTAAATTATAACTGGGACCCAGGAAACGCGTTCCTAAGTACAATATTCATGGGCTGGGCTGACACTTTTAATTAAGGTGATTTACACTGAATTATCCTTGGAAATAAAGAAATGGTGTGCTGCCCGGGAATAAACCATCATCACCAGCCGCCTTTGTAAGTTACACTTCGTTTTAATCTATTTGGGGAATTGTTTATCTAGTTCATTACCCAACCAAACACCGAGGCCGGCCTTAAATAAGGCTTAAGTGGGGGTGGGGGCACTGCCATCTCCATACCCCGCCTCTCTAGAGTCACCCAGCCTCCCTGTGGCTCCTTCCAGCCCTTTGAAAGCACTGACCAGAGCGCTGGCTTCCCATGCTACAGGCCAGATCTCAAAGTGGCTTTGGAAGTCTCCCAGAAAAAGGCCTCCGGGCTCAGGTCTCGCCAAGCTAAGCATCACTTGCAGCTCTGTGTAATCTCTCCATGTGCAGGGCTCTTTCCTCTCTCTGGATAGAAACTCCTGTCTGAGGGCCACAGACAAGTCTGGGGGCTGCTCTCCACCAGCCTCCAATCTTCAGCCCCCATTTATGTGGCTGCCTGTCTGTATACATCCAGTCTCCACCCCATCACCATCCCAGAGACGTCTTAGGCTTAGTGTGCCCAGAGACCCATCCATTATTTCCTCCTTTCCTCAGAAACTTGCTTCCTCGCCATCATCACCCTTCCCATCACCCAGGTCAGAAAGCTTTTCCTGGTAAGTACCCTGCTTGCTTCTTGCTTCGTCCTCCACCAGTGTCACATCATTCCCTCTTCTCCATTCCCACTGCCCCTGTCCCAGATCAGCCTTATCGTCTGTCCCTTGGACCCTGCCCAACCTTCTCACCTGCCCCCCTTCTACTCCCCAATTCATGGTCCACACTGGTCTCCAGGGTGATTCTCCTACAGTTCTGCAATGTGATCAAACTTCCTGTGACTCACTAATGTTCTTCCAACTCCCCCACTACAGCTAGGACAACCTTCCAGCCCCGAAAGCCCCCTCCAATCTGTCCTCAGTCTAACTTTACCCTCCTTTTTTTTTTTTTTTTTTATGTTTTATTTACTTCTAGGAGAGAGAGACAGCGCAAGCAGGGGAGGGTCAGAGAGAGAGGGAGTCACAGACTGAAACAGGCTCCAGGCTCTGAGCCGGCAGTCAGCACAGAGCCCGACGCGGGGCTCGAACCCACGAACCGCGAGATCATGACCTAAGCGAAAGTCGGACGCTTAACCGACTAAGCCACCCAGGCGCCCCTACCCTCTTTATTCTAACTAGCTGAGTCCTGGGGTCTACTGATACTCCAGTGCAGGACTGGGAAAGGGAAAGATAGAGGGCTGGGCAAGGGAGGGTGTATGGGCATAGCCTCTCTGATTCCAAATGTAAAAGTGCTTTTAAAAGTATAAATGCTCTCCAACAGGAGTTCTGACTCTTCTTCCTGTAGGTACCCGTGTGCCCATGCACCTGTGGGAATGAGCATGCGTGGCAAGTGGTTCTTTCAGGGTGTGTGTGTGGTTAGCACATCTATGTGTGTTGGAATGTGGGGGTGTGCGTGTGCCTGTAGGTCATGTGCACATATTCGCCTGTGTCTCTGAAAAGCAGCCAGCCCTAGTTTGAGACCTGGGAGGTCCCTGGCTTCTCTGTGTGAGCCCTCGGGTGTGTCGTGTGTGAGGGAGGGAGGGAGGTGACCAAGGCGATGGAGAGCCACCCTGCAGCAGCATCTTATAGGCTCCAGAGCTGGCTAAGGGGTGGGAGGGGTGGGAGAGCAAAAGAGGCAAAGGCAGGGTAAGAGAGGGAGGGAGAAAATTGGAGAGAGGAGGACAAGAAGGCAGGGGGGCAGGGAGAAGGAAGAACGGAGAAGGGAACACGCAGTGGAAGAGAAAGGGGAGGATGGAAGAGCTGGGGAGGAAGGCTCCGACCACAGGCCATGGATGGGGGACGCCCTCTTTTGGGTTGTGCCCAGCCACACACAAACTCTGCCCTTCTGCAGGACTCAGTTTCCCCATCTGTGAAATGGTTGGTAAAAGGTCCCTCCCATTCAGCTCCTGGAGCTGCCGGCGGGAGAGAGGAGGGAGGAGTCTCAGGGGTCTCTGGAGCCCAGGTGCCACATCTTTTCCCAACTTCCTCTACTCTCTCCTCAGGCCTCCCAGACAGCCAGCAGGGGCGGGGCAAGGGCAGCCAAGGCTGGGGCCCTCCCCGAGCGCTACCCGGGCTCTGCGGCGCCCTCAGCCCGGAGGGAGCTGACACGCTCCTTGGGAATTTATCACGCACCCAATTACAATGTTAATTGGCAAGTTCCTGAAATCAATTAATTCGCAAATTTTTTCCAATTAAAAATCCAGATAAATCACGAGGGCGGCAGCGGCCGGTCCAGCCTGCAGTCCGGTGGGCGCAGCGGCCGCAGGGAGGGGAGGGCGCGGAGAGGGGAGGGGAGGGGGCGGCGGGCGCGGCTGCCCTTGAACGCCTTTGCCGGTCGGTCGGACTGTCAGCGCGCCGGGCGCGGCGGGGCCGAGACAGATAAAACCATCGACCCGTCGCCGCCAGCGCTTCGGCTTTATCGATCCGACGGGAATTTCACTTGCTGTGCAGATCCCGCTGTCCGGCTGTCAGACACGGGGTCGGGGGGGGGGGGCGTGCCAGGGGTTAGGGGGTGCTGGGCTGGGCCTGGACGTGAGGGGCACAGAAGTGGGGGACTCAAGACACAGCCGTGAGGGGCGGAGCAGATGTGGGGGGCTCTGGGTGGGGAAATGGATATGGGGATTAGGGTGTGGAAGTAGGGGGTGCCCTGAGAAAATATGCGGGTGGGGGGATTGGTGCAGGATAATGGCTGGGGGGGGCACTTCTGTGGGTAGATGTGGATGCCTTGGGCAGTGCAGGTGTGGGGCACGAAGAGGAGGCTGTAGTGTGGCCCCCACTGAGGAGGCAGAAGGAGATCTTGAGCCCCCATTTTCCAGGCCCTTAGGGGTACACTGCTTTTAGAGGGCCCTACAGGGCCCTCCACACACATCTCTGCCTCTGTTCCTCCCCACACATCTCTGCCTCTGTTCCTGTTCTTGTTGAGGGGAAGTCCTCTATTGGAAGTAAATTACCCAGACACCCTCCCAGATAGCTAAGGTGTGGAACTCATCTGTGGAAGGATGTGTCTTTAATGCTCTGCCCCTTCTAGGCTAGTCCCACGTGTGTGTATGTGCTGGGAGTGGTTTAAGAGAATGGCACCAGTCAGATTGCTTGGATTTGAATCATATCTTTACCACTTTACAGGCTGTGCAACCTTAGAAAAGTCACTTAACCCCTCTGTACCTCAGTTTCCTAATCTGTTAAAGGGACTTAATAATTATTGCCTGCCCTAGAAGGTTGTTGTGAAGATTAAATAAGTATAATGCAATGTAAAGTACTTGGCATATAGTGAGTGTTCATACAGATTATTATTTTTATCATTTGTATAGTCTTCTGTGGTAGTTTTAAGTATTTTTCACAAAATTTTTTGATATTCTTCCTATCAAGAAATAGAGCTTATAGAGTTTAATTCTCCTCTCTTGGTGGGGGCTGGACTTGGTGACTTGCTTCTAATGAAGAGAATAAAATACAGTAGAAGCAATAGCATATGACTTCTGAGACTAGAGCATAAAAGGCATTGTGGCTTCCTACTTAGTTTCTCTCTTGGGTCACTTCTCTGTGGGAAGTCAGACACCATGTCATAAGGAAACTCAAGCTGTCCTATGGAAAGACCCATGTGTGGAGAAGCCGTCTTGGGAATAGCTCCTACAGTCCCAGTCAGACCTTCAGATGACTGTGCCTTGGCTGACATCTTGACTGCAGTCCCATGAGAGGCTGAGCCGAAAGCCACAACTACCCACAGCGACCCAACTAAGCTGTTCCTGAATTGATGGTCCATAGACACTGTGGGTAATAAATGTTTGTTGTTTCAAGCCACTAGGTTTGAGGGTAATTTGTAACACAGTAGTAGATAATTAATACTTCTTCCTTCAAAATTCAGCTCACCTCCCTTAGGAGGTCTTCTCTGCTCTGTGCTGGGTTGGTGTTTTCTCCATGCCCCATAGTTCTTCCCATAGAGCGGCTTCTATCCCTCAGGGTTTCTATGGCTCAGCTCTCCTTACTCTCATGTAGTGAGCTTCTGGGAGTGGGGCCAGTTCTGGTTTACCTTTGGGTCACCTATATCCTGCATGGGGGATTAGTTGAGGGTAGAAGGATGGAGATCAGTCAAGTCTGGTGACTTGGACTGAACAGGAGGTGGAGTGGGGTTGGGAGTGGTGGAGCAGGCTGTTCCCCTGTAGCAGACAGTATTTCCCAGAAATGGCTACAACCACCCATGTCTCCCATCCCATGTGCTCTTCTATAATATAACCTTCTATAATATGGCCCTGCCACTCTCCCATCAAAAAGTGGGGTGTATATCTTCTCTCCTTCAATCTGGCTGCGCTGACACTGCCACGACCAATAGAGTACAGCAGAAGTGACACTGAGTGACTTCCAAGGCTAGGTTGTAAAAGGTGATCCAGGTTCCATCTCATTGGCTGGGACATTTGCTTTAGTACCCTAATCTGCCACATAAGAAGTCCAGCTACCTGGAGGCCATCATGCTAGGAGAAGGCCCAGGCCACATGGAGGTGCCAAGTGTAGGTACATTGGTCACAGCTCCAGCTGAAGTCCCAGCTGACAGCCAGAATCAGCTACCAGACATGTGAGTGAAGGGGGCTCCAGATGATCCCAGCTCCCAGCCACCGCGTCTTCCCAGCTGGGGCCCCAGGCATCCTGGAGCAGATGCAAGCCATCCCCCTCTGTGCTCTGGATTCTTGAAGTCACAGATGCCATGAGTATAATGAAGTGGCTGCTTGAAATTGCTAAGGTTTGGGGTAATTTGTCGTACCTCTCCTCTGTTCCTTTGATAACCTTGCTCCTCTATAAGCCCCTCAAGGAGGCTCTGCCTCATCCTTCAGGCAGGGAGAAGGGGGGTAAAGGTAGAACAGGGGGCACAGCTAAGCTTGATTGTTACCTTTCAGATCCCGAGATTGATAGAGAAGGTAGTGCTTACTCCCCTGGATGGCAGCACGAAGCTGCACTTCTGGTCAGCAGGGCAGGTCTAGCCCCTGCTTCTGGAACCCTAACCCTGAGGCTTAGCATGGCAGGACAAGGGCCGTGGCAGTGGCTCATCCCCTTTCCCACTCCTCTTGTGCCCTTTAGAGGTGGAGGCCTGAAGAGGGGTCACTCTCCTCCCATCTCTGAAAATACAGCAAGAAGGGAACTGCATCACCACTCAGCTGCAGGATCTGAGGACTGAGAGCAGAGTAGAGGAGAAGGACAGCAGGCCTTGCCTTCTATCTAGAGGCTGGGCTGTAGGCCCAGTGGCTGCTCCTGGGACCTGGCATCCAGAACCCTGAGTGGAACCCTCTGGCAGGCAGGCTCCCCCAGGGGGGTGGCTTACCTGGCAGGCAGCTGGGCCAGCTGTTCCAGTTCTTGCTCCATATGCTCCTGCAACTCGCTGGGCCTTAGCAGGACCTGGCAGATGGGGCAAATAGGGGCCTGGCTGTCAAACAGTGCTGCTGCCTTTTTCTTACCTGGAGAGGGAAGAAGAGACAGACAGATAAGCTGGGTTAGTCTGTGGATGGATGGAAACCCAGTGTCCCAATCCTCTAATCCAAGCGTTCTGCTGCCTCCTAGAGCTTCCTGGCCTAGAGAGGGGTTGAGCCCAAGGGTCTCAGAGCCCATGACCATCCACTCTTCTCTGTAGCTCCAGGGCCCATGAACGGTACCTCCTTAGCTGGTCACTCCTCTGGGAAATCTATCAGGACACAATCAATGCTCTGTGTAATCAAACCTGGATCACTTCATTTCATACAGGTTAGGGAAGGTCTTGGTTTAATCATACCATCACTCAGAATATCCACTGACCCCTTTTTCTCCTCTTTCCTCACTGCTTTCATATTCCCCAAATCTGGAGAAGGAAGAAAAGAGGGAGAAAAGGGACTCTTTCCTGCATTCCTGTTGTTATTCAACAAACATCATCTGAGATCTACTCTGAACCAGCCCTAGCGCAGAGCAGTTGGGGCCACAGCATATAATCAGATCCTGGGAAAGACCAAAAAGAATCCACATGATTTCTGGGGTACTGTTCTCTTCAGTTCCTCACCTTCCCAGGGTTCTTTCCACAGCCTCTTCTCTCCCTATTCTGTATGCTGCTGGATCATCTCCTTCCTTCTTATGGCCCCAATCCCCATCTGTGCCCCGTAGACTCCAGAATCCACATCTCTGCCCCAGATCCCTCTCTGGTTCTCTCGGTCCCTGTATCCAAGCACCTAATGTGTGTATCAATGCCTGGGTGTCCCCCAAGAATCTGAAACTCAATGATCCAAAAACAAGTTCTTCAGCTTCTTCACCCCTTGTGAGCCTGCTCCCTGTTCAGCAGTGCCCATCTTAGTTAATGACACTAATGTTCACCTGGTTACCCCAGCCAGTAACCTCTGCTTCCCCCCGTGACCCCTTCCGGTACCTTACTGTCCCTCCCACATTTGTTTAACCCCCAAGTTCTATTCGTTCTGCTTCTTCAGGATTCCTGGAATCTATAGTCTTCCTGTTTGGGTCTCACTACCTCTCACTTGGTTCACATTATTGGCCTCTTTTGAATCTAACAGAGTCTGGGTTTCCCCCTCCAAAATATCCTTCACATTGTATGGGAGCACAAGTGGGTATTCTGCTGGTTCTCTAGGCTTGGGGGCCAGCTGGGAGCCTGAACCTCGTTCCCACTCTGTCCCAACTCTGTCGCTGCCTCTGTTGCTGATGGTAACCAGAACACACTATGCTAGGAAGGAGCCTGAAGGTTGCCTAATGCATACCTTCTGGGGAGCATAAACCCCCTCCCTTACCACTCTCTCCACCCAGTGCTCTTCTGGCCTCTGCTTAAGGCGTGGAGATGTGGAGGCCTGTTTATCCAGACATATCCTTGCCTATCCATGTAAACTGTAGAAAGACTTTTTAAACAATTTTTTTAATGTTTTATTTTATTTTTTGGGAGACAGAGAGACAGAGGACAAGCGTGGGGGGGGGGGATGCGGGAAGAGAGAGAGACACACACAGAATCCAAAGGTAGCTCCAGGCTCCGCGCTGTCAGTGCAGAGCCCAATGCAGGGCTTGAACCTATGAATGTGAGATCATAACCTGAGCTGCAATTAGACACTCAACCAACTGAGCCACCCAGGTGCCCCTGTAGAAAGATTTTTTTAGCTTAAGCCAAGATCTTTCTCCCTTCTTCTTCTTCCCACTTTTGTCCTGAGAGGGTCAAAATTAGCTTTCAGGGAGATAAAGGCCATGCCAGTGATGACCAAGGTGGTTGTGAGGGGTTACCAGATTAAATATAAGATGCTCAGGTAAAACTGAATTTCAGGTAAATAATGAATACTTTTTTAGTCTAAGTATGTCCCAAATATTGCATGGCACATACTTATGCTAAAAGTTACTCATTGCTTTTCTGAAAGTCAAATGTACTTGGGCGTTACATATTTTTATTTGCTAACTCTAGTGCCCCATGCCTGAAGGAGCTCCAGCTGAGCACAAGAACCCACCTCCCTTTGACACAAGGTTGAGGATGGTCACAGCCCTCCTGGATGCCCAGACTGAGTCATTTGAGAGCTCAAAGGAGGGAGTAGTTCATTCTGGCGGCGTGTTTTGAGGAGTGAAAATAGAGAAGTCTTAACCAAAGAATGAAATTTAAGTTGCATCTTTGAAGTGTTCCAGGTAGAAAACAGGAGCAAATGAAAGTGAATGCCTACAGTCTCTTGTGGGCAGGGGCTTCTTCTTAGCCAACTTCATATTTATAGACAACTGAGAACAGACCTGGCAGTGACTCGATGGGCAATAACAAAGCATGGGAGAAGAAAACAGGAAAGGGAAAGGGGGTAGGAGTGAAGATCGGATTGTCCTAGAAGCCAGATGATCTTCGTAGAGCTGAGATGTCCACTGTGGAGGCTTCGTGTGTGCCAGGGTGGGGTGGGTGTGGCTCCAGTCTGTGTGGTCAGGTGTCTGAGGAGGCGAAGGGGCCTTGCTGATCACGTGCCTTGGTGGCTATGCCTTAGATGCTCGGAGGACAGCTGGAAGCTGTGAGTTAAAGCAGGTGTGGCCTGGTCTGGAAGATGGGAGCTGAGGATTCTAGGTCAGCTCTGCTTCTAACCTCATTCAGCCAGAGAATCTCAGAGGTGAGGGAGACCCTAGAAATTCTGCAGGCCATTACCTTTGTTTTACAGATAGGGAAAGTAAGGCTCAGAACTGGATAGTGACCCCTGTGCTCAGCTCATGATCTCATCGCCTCATTTACTTATTCACTCAAGCAACATTAAACAATTCTTTTATGTCAGGCATTATTCTAGGAGAAACTGGAGTTCAGAGATAAATACAACAAAATGTTGGCCTGAAGGAGATCACAAAGTTAAGTAGGAAAGCCACGGAAGAGGCAGTGGGTCCAGTCAGTACAGCCCTGACCAGGCCCGAGGGAGGGACGAGTGGGCACCCCAGGGTGGAGGCAGGAGGGGCCAGAAGACGGTTGGTAGGGTCCAGGGGAAGCCAGTACTTGATAGAAAGCATGAAGGATAAATAAGGGAGAGACTTGATGAGGCTGTCAAAATGGCAGCACCTGGGGCATAAGGGGGGGAAATGGTAAGAGAGGAGACCTGCAAAAGGAGATTCAGGGCATGGGGTCTATGCCGAGGTGGAAATATCAGGGTTTCTGCCCATTAGCCTGAGACACCAACTCTGGCTTTTAGGGATTCCTGGAGCCCAGAGTCTTCCCTTTGAGGCTGGGGCCAGGAATCAGCATTCCCACATGCTTGTTCTCTGCTTTGCTGCCACAGAGATCTACTTTTCTGAGCTTGGCCTCAGTTTCCCTATTGGGACAATGGGTCCTCTTCCTGGCTCCCAGTGTCAGGAATAGCACTGACAGGGATCAGCAGAGGACCCTGCAGCCTATGCCCTCCATCCCACTCCCATTTTCTCAGGGGTTAGAGTGGCAGGTGTCAGCCTGGCCATGGGCCCCCTGCTTCCCCTCCCCCGCTGTGTTCCCTATAATTTTATATTGAGACCTGTGGTCATGACGTGGGTTTTACTGCACTAACGACATGGCCTGCCCAGGTTTAATGACAAAATCCATACTCTGGCCCTGGGCCTGCTCCTCGTTTGCATAATTCCCAGAATACAGCTCCCTGAAGCTTTTGACCTGGGCCATTACAGTGGCCATAAAACGGGCCATAAAACCGCTGGGAATGGCCAAGAGGAGGGGGCTGTGGTCTTGTGGGGGTGGGAACAAAGTCCTCAACCCCCTACTCTTCCTAAGCCTGGGAGTAGGCGTCCTCTGGCTCTTCTCTTCCACAGTTCCGAGAATCTAAGAGTCCTTCTCAGGCTGGAGAGATCTCCGGAAATCCCTAGTCCAGCTGCCCCTGTGATGTGGGAGTCCCTTCTCCAATGCCAAAGCTGGCATCACAGGTAGGCAGACGGAATCTCCAGAGGCAGGCTGTCAGGAAGCATCTTCTCACTGAGCACGCCTCACTCCTGCCCCTGTCCCGTGGCCACCCCGCGGCTGGCCAGGCCTCTTTGCCACAGGTGGGTCCAGGTCATGTGGGCCTAGGTTGAATCTTGTCCTTCTTCAGGAGGCCTAGCTCCCCAGGGAGGTCAGGAGGCAGGCTGAGCAGCACAGTGGGGAGACGTGGGAAGCATGAGGGACTGGGGACAGGGACTGGGACGGGCTGTCAGTGCTAAAGATGATGAATGGGGGAGGTGAGGCGGGAGGCCCGGTGTTATCGGCAGTGGATGGCGGAGCGGGCGCTCGCCGCTCCCGTTAATCCCCGGGCGCTGCCTCAGCCCTTGCACTGATAACGAGGAAATGGGACTGACAACAATTTTTAGCTGAGAGATTCTTCACCAAAATGCCAGGCGGCCGGAGGTCTGACAGCGCCTGATTGAGTGTGTGAGTGTGTGGGGGGAAGGCCCGCGGCCCCCTCCCCTCCCATGCAAAGATGGATCGCTCATTCCGCCTCCCGTCCACATTCATTACCGCACCTCCCTCCCGCCACCGCCACCACAGCGCCTGCCACCTCCACTTTTCTGCCTGCTGCAGGTATCCCCTGAAGCAGCAGGAGAGCAGGGAGCAGAGGGGCCTGACCCTGTCCTCAGCCTTACGCAGGGCAACTCAAGCTCAAAGAGCCAGAGGTGATTGTGGGGTCAGGCTCCTTAGCTGTGTGACCTCCAGAAGGCTCCTTTCCCTTTCTGAGCTGCTTAGAATACTCCACACCCAGAACAGCCATGCTCCACCAGGAAGTGACTGCAGGCTGTGAGGACGGATAGGCAGGCTGAGGAGAGAGGAGCAGTTAAGCCAAGCAGCCTTTGCCTTGCCGAGGCCAGGCTCCAACCAGTCCAGCAGTCAGGCCTTGGAACTGGGCCTCAGGCACCTGGGGTCCCAGATCAGCCCTCTGCTGCCCCCCTCTGTTAGGAAGTGCTGACCATTGGGGGCAGGCAACTCAAGGGCCCACCATGCTGCCCCATCTCTGCCCTCTCCCATAGTGAAGCCCGGTCAGAC